GGTGCAGCCACTATGGAAAACAGTATGGAGATTTCTCAAAAAATTAAGAACAGATTTACCATACAATCCGGCTATTCCACTGCTGGGTATTTATCCAAAGAACATGAAAACACACATAAAGATACACACACCCCTATGTTGACCACGGCATTATTCACAACAGCCAAGACTTGGAAGCAATCTAGGTGCCCATGAAGGGACGAATGGATAAAGAAGATGTGGTGTTTATACACAACGGAATACTACTCAGCCATGAGAAACGATGGAATCCAGCCATTTGTGACAACATGGACGGACCTTGAGGGTATTATGCTGAGTGAAATAAGTCAGAGGGAGAAAGTCAAATACTGTATGATCTCACTAATAAGTAGAAGATAAAAACAATGACAAGCAAACACATGGCAACAGAGATTGGATTGGTGATTACCAGAGGGGAAGGGGGGAGGGAGGAGGGCGAAAGGGATAATTAGGAACATGTTTGTGGTGATGGAGTGTAATTAGTCTTTGGGTGGTGAACATGATGTAATCTATACAGAAATCAAAATATAACGATGTACGCTTGAAAAACAAAAACAAAACAAAACAAAAAAGAGATGAAGGGAGAAAACATAGAATGAAATGAGGGACTGAGGCACCCGGGACGGAGTAGGCACGAGATGCTCAGAATCCCAAGGAATTCAGGGGTGGAGACGGTGAGAATGAGATTTGCTGAAGGTAGAGAGAGTGAGGAGTCAAGGATGACTCCCAGGTTTGTGGCCAGAGCATCTGGCCCACTGGCTGGCCATTTTGTGAGGCAACAGTGGGAGAGGAGCAAATTTGGGATAGAGAGGGAAATCAAGAACGTGGTTTAGACGTGTCAAGAATCAACTTGAGAATCAAGGAGGCAATTTTTCATAAAAGTCTAGATAGATCACAGCTGTGGAGTCACTTCTGGGAATTGTCAGCGGAATTCAAAGCTACGGGGCTAGATGAGATCTTGTGTCGGGGGTCTTCAAGTCACCCTCAGGCTTGATGATTTGCTAGAAGGATTCACAGGACCCAGAAGTCATTATACTCATGGTTGTGGTTTATTACAGCAAAGGACAGAGAGTCAAATCAGGAAAGGGAAGAGGTGCACAGGGTGACGTCTGGACATAGCAGGTGCAAGCTTCAAAGTGTCTTTCTCAGTGGAGTCACGTGGGAATTCCCCCAGCGATGGCGTGTGGCAAGGCGTGTGAAGGGCTACCAGCCAGGGAGCTCACCCCCAACCCGAGTGTCCAGGGTTTTTATAGGGGGTCAGTCACATAGGCATATGCTACCTGTAGGACCGACCTCGGTCACTGAAGCTCCAGACGCCCAGAAGGAAAGGTGTCATCCACGGATCACACTGTCTGCATAAACTATCTGGACACACTGGGACCGCATGGCTCAAGGCCTCAGGGATGCAAACACACTTTTATCAGACAGAACATGACAAGAGTTCAGTTCCTAGAAGCTGGCCAAGATCTAGTCACGAAAACAGGCCTTTCTTGGGACTATTCAGGGTTTGAGCAATCCTGGCCTGTTGAGTTAACCCTTTGCCTTACAGATCTCAAAGACAGCGGAGGAAGACAGAGGAGAGCAGGGGCTGACAGCTAAGCCCTGGGTCCCTCCAACGTTTATAGTTTGAGGACACGATCAAGCACAGGGAAAGGACTGTCCTTTTTTTCTCCTCTGCCAAGGACCCCGTCTCCGCCAATAGCCTAGGGACAAGTCATTCTCCCTCTAGTATCTTCCAGCATTTAGAACAAATGGGTCCACGACCTCCTCGCTCTTCAGTAGAGGTTCAGAGCTCCCCCAACTCCGGGCCAGCAGGAGCTGAGTATGAAACTTGGGTCTCAGTCAATCCCCAAACAACTGACAGAGGGAAGCTCTGGGCGGAATGGGCATCTTTCTAGAAGGAGCTCCCGTGTCTCAGCAGGAGCTGTTCTGAAGTCCCTGTAATACTAGGGTCAGGTCAGGATTTGAGTGCTCCTGGAATCGGCACCATCTTGTTCATTTTGAAAGAAAAATACAAAGACCAGACAAAAGACACAGTCAGTCTTAAATTACGTATTACCAATGCTTTAACGTCTGAATATCTTAGAGGAAAACTATAACAACAAAAACAGGTGAACAGAGAAAAAGGAGGACGAGCGAACGCTCACGGCATCCCCTTGTGCTTTTGTTGTATTTGGACTCAATCTGTTGATCGATCTGCAAGCCTGGACATCTCTGCAACACAGCCAGCAATATGGCATTTCTACGTTTTTTATCTGTCTTGCAGGATTTTGAAGGTTTCTTCTTCCTCTTTTTTTTTTTTTTTTTGGCTTCTATTATGAATAAACATGAACTTAGCTGTCTTGTCTGCAAACTTAGCAGTGCTGATGTAGACGAAGATATTGACGTGTAGGCAAACGGCAATATAATCTAGAAATTCAGAGCACGGACTCTGGAATCCAGCTTCTTGGACCCAACTCCCAGCTCTGTCCTTAGAATACAAGCTAGGGTAATTTACTTAACATTTCTGGGCTTCAGTTTCAGCTTCTGTAAAATGGAAATAACAGTGCAACCTCCTAAGAGTAGCTACGAGGACTGAATGAGAAATCTCTATAAGGCTATACAACAGCGCCTGGCGCAGCGTGTTACATAAACGTCCACGATTATTCGTTTCATATTCAATGACTTTGTAAACTCTCCTTGACGTTAATTTCTTTTAGTTAATTCTCTTGGGTCTTCTGGTTTGTAATGACGTCCACTAATAATAGGAATTTTGTATTCTTTGTACCTAATGCCAGTCCTTATCTATCAGACAGACACTGAAATGTTTACAGATGAAATCATGTGTAGGCTTCGCTTCCAAATCACTGGGCGATGAGGAGAGTGCAAAGCACAGGTGGGGGTACAGATGACACACGATGGAGTGGAAAATTGTCTAAGTTGCATGATAGGCCAATTGGGGGTAATTAAACTAGTCTCTCTACTCTTTTGTTTGAAATTTGTATAGTAAAAATTAAAAAAAAAATAATCAGCTACCCACTTCAACTTAAAACCTAACATTGTATTTAACCCTCAAACATCAGAGGCATGCCAGTTAAAAGAGAACACAAACAAGAATGCCACTTTTACTGACATTATTTTGCAAATGGCAGCCAACACAATCCCATATGAAAGGGACTATCTGGCTAAAAATACTGGTAAACAAGAAACGAAATTATCTGTAGATGACTGTCTCACTAGAAAAGCCAAGAGGATAAAATGGATACCAAAGGTATTCATGACATTTCAGTAGGTTAACCAGATACAAAATAAATAAATAAATATTTTTTTGCTGAGGAAGATTGGCCGTGAGCTAACATCTGTTGCCAATCTTCCTCTTTTTTTGCATGAGGAAAATTAGCCCTGAGCTAACATCTGTGCCAATCTTCCTCTTCTTTGTATGTGGGTTGCCACCACAGCATGGCTGACGAGTGGTGTAGGTCTGTGCCCGGGAACCGAACCCACAAACCCAGGCCACTGAAGTGGAGCATGCAAACTTAACCATTAGACCACGGGGCTGGCCCCCAAAAATAAATATTTTTTAAAAATCAACCACAATACCAATTATAAGAAATGTTGGGGGCACAGATTACATGTCAAATAGCAATAATTTGTTGTTGTTGTTAAAAGTCAGGATTTATATGAGAAAAACTACAGGAGTGCTTTGACATTGTTAAAAAAAACTTTAAAATACTGTATTTTCATACAACAGGGCTCCAATTTGCAGCATCCTCACTGGAGAAGTGGAAATAAACATCACAATTTGCTCACAGGGCGAGTGTGCTGGTTAGCGAGATATTAAAGCATTTAACCTAAGGCCAGGAACCTTTGTTTCTTAAAAAAAACCAAAAAACCCAATATTTATTGAGCACCTATTACATGCCAGGTACCCTGGGTGCTGCGGAGACAGCAGTGATCAAAACGGATACAAATCCTTTTGCTTACAGAGTTGACAGTCTAGCCATGAAGGCAGATAGATAACAGACCAAATACGTATCTAAAAAATTGAGTGTGTTAGTGAAAACTTCTCTATAGAAAAAATAAAGATGAGGAGGGAGACAGGGAGTAGCTGGGGAGTGAAGGGTTGGTTTGCAAGTTTCCAAGGGTTGGTGGGGGAATGTCTCATGGGAAGGTGACACCTGCCTAAAGACCAGACGGTGAGAGCCAGCTGGAATCCTCAGAAGAGGAGCAGGCCAGGCAGCACGAACAGCACATGCAAACGTCCTGAGGTGGGAGCCTGCTAGAGTTAGAGGAGGAGGAAAGGCCAGCGTGGCTGGAGCTTAGCCAGGAAAACGGTCAGGAGACGAAGGCAAAGACAAAAGGGGAGGGGTAGGGTACAGATCCTAAAGGCCTTACAGGCAGAGAAAGAAGAAGATTTAAAAAACAAAAGGATTCTGGTTATTTTGCTATTATTATTAACTGCAAAAACATATCAGATTCTCGAAGGGCTTGATAGGAAGTGACGGGACTGGAAAAGGGGTTTGTCGCAACTATCACAGGTGTGCCTTAAGGACCAAAGGAGACGGTGCAGGCCAAGCGTCCGACAAGGCAGCAGGCGCCCGGGAGGGGTCCCCGCTGTTCCCCTCCGGATCCCATGTCAGGGCCAGTCGCGGGCGTCAAGCGGGGCCCGAGGCCAGCCTTCCCCAACTCAGCCACTCCCCACGCATCGGGACCCCGGTCTCCGCCTGCGGGTCCCGCTCCTCCCCCCGGGGACACCCGGACCTGACGCCCGCTCCCCATCCAGCCGCATCCCCGCACCCACGGCCCGCGTGGAGCTGGAGCCCCGCCTCCTCGCCGCCCGCGCCGCGAAGGCTTCTGGGAATTGTAGTTCCCGCTCGCCGACCCCCAAAGCACTTCCGGGTTCGGCCAGAAGCGCAGCCATTGTCCTGCGCGCGGACGCTGGCTGTCGCCGTGCGTCTCGGCCCTTTGGAGCTTAACTCGAGCGGCGCTGCGGATGCCGAGTTGGGGGGTGGAGCGAACACGCTTAGCCCGAGTCTGTCGTGTGCAGAATCGGAGCAGGGCTTGCTTGAGCCGCGCTCGTCCTGCCGCAGAGACGCGCCGGGCACGGAAGCTGGGACAGGCCGGGCCGCGCGGACGCCCAGGTTGGTGAGGGGCGGGGCGGCGCTGGGAGCCCCGTGCGCGCATGCGCAGGGTCTAGGCGGGAAGCTGGGTTGGGGAGTGTGGGTGGGAGATCTGGGACCTGCGAGGGCGGCGCTTCAGCTTCGGGTCCCCGAAGTTGGTGGGGGTTCTTGTGCAGCTGCAGCTGGACGGGGCTGTGCTCTGCGCGCGTGCGCGGTGCTGGGTCACGTGGTGCTCTGGTCCCGGGCCTGAGGGTGCCCACCGTGGTGGGCGACAGGTCAAGTGCATGGGTGCGGGGGAGATCCTCGCCTCCCCCTCCTCCAATGCCGCGCCTGTTTAATGGAGGGCCTGAGGACGACCGGGCTGAGGGAGTGCTCAGCTGCAGATTCTGGTCCCTGCAGGAGATGCTCTGCGCCACTGTCCCGATCCCCTTGAGCAGGCCTTTGAGTAGGAAGGACGAGGCAGGAGGCGATATTCTGGGCAGCCGGGATCCTGGAACAGACGCCTCTCTTCTCGCAGGCCTGCGGGCACCCTGCAGGTAGAGGAGAGACCAGGCTGGGGTTGCACATTCTTGCCCCGGGATAGGCAGTGCTCCTTCAGCAGACCCTCAGTAGGAGTCGCTGATGGACTGCAGACGCCCAGGATGAAGGCGGGACCGGGGCCCAGAGGCAGGTTCTAGGCGGAGCACTGCCTGCACGTGCTGGGGGTGTCTGGATGCGAAGCAGGGGCTCCGAGGGATCATCCTGGGACCCAGGGAGCATAGGGCAGAGCCCCAGGGCATTGAAGTCTGGTGGAGACGCTGCGGTGGAGGTGCAGACCCCGAGAGCGGGAACGACAGAGCTGCAGCAGCTGCCAGCACTGCTGTTTGGGGAGGGAGCAGGATGCTGCCGGCGTGAGGATGAAGTAGGCGTTCCCGGGACCTTTGTCAGCGTTTGCTCTGCTTGCAGGCATGACAATGCCCAGGTTGGGAGAGGGACAGAGTCTGGGCTGCAGCTCTGGACCTGGAAGGGTCTGTCCTCTGTCTGTCACCCGGGGGCTCATGTTTGGGCAGGAGGAAGCGAAAGGGCCCACTTGCGGTGGAAGCTGCCCTGTCAGGAGCTTGAGACCCCCCAGGCGGGTGAGTGCCCTGGTCCTGGGGCTGATTCTGGAGCTCTGTGCTCCAGCCAGTGTTCGGGTGTGCTGATGGCAAGCAGGCTGTGGGGCAGGTGACCCCACAACCTTCACGGGGGCTTGTGGGTGCGTGTGGTGTCCCAGGTGGGTTGAGGCCCAGAGTGGGGATGCAGCTTCTCCTCTCAGGAGCAGGACGGGCAGAGAGCCCAGGTCCTGGATGCCGGTTCTGGGCGTGAACCTGCCCTGTGTGTGCGTGGATATGTCACTAGGAGGGAGAACCTGGGTGGGTGGCCCCTGTGCGGTGGCTGCTGGAGTAGAGTCTGGGGCCCCAGTTTGGAGCTGCGGGTTCCCATCTTGGGAGAGCCGAGGCTATTCCAGCTGTACGTGCACTGGCATCTGGGCAGGATGGTGAGACGTGGGCAGTCTTAGGACCCTGGTACTGCCGGGGGATGCCCAGGTGGGTGGAGGGAGCAGCTGCAGACTGCACTGCAGAGGGTAGGGCTGCACCAGGGCCCTCTGTGCCGCACACACACAGCATTTGTCCTGGAGGTGGGTCTTAGACAGAGGGTATTGGGGTCTTTGTGCAGACGGTGCCCTCATCACCGCTGGGTGATGGCCAGGTTAGTGGAAGGACAGGATCTCCCTGAGGGGCCCAGGAGGGTACTTAGGCAGCAACCTGAGCAGGTGTGGCTCAAGTAGGGGCCTGTGGAGGAAACTGGGTTTGGGTGCAGGGTCCGGTACAGCTGCATTGTGAGCCCACACGATACTGTTTGAGTGAGAGTCCACTGGGAGTGAGGGAGCGGGTAAGAGGAAGAGAGAGAGCAGGAGTGGAGCGTGTAGGGTGGCATTTGCCAGGGGCTGTTCTGTCTCAGACTCAGAAACACCTAGTCGGTACAAAGACAGCTGAGCTCCAGAGGTATATATTCTGGGCCTGCCTGGGACAGGCTGCCCTTGGCTGGCCTGTGCTGGTATGTGTCACAAGGCCCCCAGTCCTGGGCTCAGTTGCCGTTTTAGGCCTGACTACATCCAGGTTGGTGGAGGGACCAGGTCAGAGCTACAAATTCAGGGCCCAGGAGGGTTTGGGGGTGGGAATCTGGACTGGCGCTGTTCTGGTCGGGGCCAGCGGACCCCAGGACGGTGGAGGGACAGGTCCTGGGTGCCTGGAGCTGTGTGCATGTGCTTGGCTGTTTGAGCGGGAAGTGGGAGGCAGGCCGCGAGGGGTATCTGCAGGCTCAGGGCTGGTGAAGGGGAGGGGAGACCCGGGGAGGGTGGGGCTGTGTCTCGAGCTCTGAGCTTCGTGCGTCTAGTTAGGGAGGGGGCTTCTGGGCCGTAATCCCCCAGCCAGCTGCTTGCCCTAGGAAACGGTGCTGGTTTGGGGCTGCAGATTCAGCTTGAGGGGAAGGGGTGCACACTAGGGGATCCTCTATGTGCTGGGTGTTTGTGGGCGTCCCAGGACCCAGGGGGGTAGGGAGGGTCTGATTTGTGCTGCCGATTTTGGGGGTGGGCGGAAGGCCGCCTTTGGGCGTGAGGTTGGCTCACGGGTAGGTGGCCCTGAGGCCCGGATAGTGGAGGACCCGGGTTGGAGCTGCCGAGTCTCGGCCTGGGAGAGGGACTACATGTGCATGCATGGCTATTCGGGCAGGAGTCTGAGCAGAAGCTTCTAGAAGCACGCTTGCCATGGGGAGCGCATCCTGGGAGCAGAGACTTATCCAGGGAGGGGACGCCATGGTGGCCCTGCACGATGATGCTGTACTCAGGCTTCTCCTTGCAGCTCAGGACCTCGGGCCCCTGCCCGCCGGGAGGAGAGCATGGAAGAGCAGGACGAGAAGCCGCCAGGGTCCCTGAGGGCCTGTGCGCAGGTGAGTGGAGGTTCTGCTGGGACACCCAGAGCTTGCTGCCACCCAGGCCCCACCGCGCAGCCCTCTATGCTGGGGAGGCTGCCCCAGCTCTCTTTGCAGCGTTTCGGGGCCTGTTGGTCCCTCCTAACCGGTAGGCTTCTAGCATTTACACACTATACATTGTGTACATGTATTTCCTCGATGCTCCAGTGACATAAGGACAAGCCCTGGAGCCCTGTCTGGCCACGGACCTGGGGAATGCTGTGGATTTACCCCAATGAACCTGCCACCTTCACCATCACTACTCTGTCTGGAGGAATTTCACATCCTGTATCAGAAGGCCTTAGAATGCTGCTTCCCCATCGGCCAGCAGCTCACAGCTCTGTTTGAGAACAAGCAATTGGAAATACGCTAAGTGTGTGATGTAAGAGGAGGTGTAAATGAATTATGGTTAGACCGTGAAATCGAAAACACTGTAGCTATTGATATAAGAAGGGATACTTACCAACATAAAAAGGTATTTATAATGTATGTTGAGTAACTAGCGTTTAGAAATGGTCACTTTTTAAAAAAGGGATGTTGTTTGTGTGTGTGTAGAAAATATACTAGAAGATTATAAATATGCCAGTTTACAAAGATCATCTGTAAGTTACATCCCAAGTGACTTTCTGTGTTCATTTACTTATCTGTATTTTCATACTTTTGTACAATGCATTTTAAAGTTAAGAAATTAACCATTTAGAGAGTTTTCCTACAACAGATATTCTTTGAAAACATTTAATCTCTTAAAAAGTTTAAATTAGAATTTCACCTTCCCCTTCCTGAGCAGTTCAATCCGGGAGGCCCTAGGTGGGGCCGAGTTCGGGAGGCATCTGCCATTGAGGATGGGTGCCCTGCTGTGGGTGTCACAGGCTGATCAGGGTGTGGAGGGCGTCACTGGCCAAGCAGGGTGAGGAGGGCATCTGCACGGGATGGCAGCTTGGCACGGGGATTCAGAGCCCAAGTGGGTGAGGCAAGTGTCTGTACAAGGGAGGGAATCTGTTTTGGGGTGACAGGGCTAGAGTGGGTGAGAAGGGGGGGAGACCCCAGTGTGGGCAGCCCAGGTGCAGCGATGGTGTCCATGCAAAGGGAGATCCAGTGTAGGCTGTCGGAGCCGGAGCAGGTGAGACGTGCACCCATGTCGGGGACGGGGACGCTTGCTGGTATGCCATGTCACAGCTCGAGCAGGCGGAGGGCATCCACGCATGAGGGTAGCCCGGCGTGGGGTATCAGAGCCCACGCAGGATGTCAAGGGCACCCACACGGAGCCCGAGTCCGAGTGGCACGAGAGTGAGGCCGTGAAGAGGCCGCCTCGTCTCCAGAGTCAGACCCCAAGCAGAGCAAGGAGGACCCTGGCAGGGGGGTGGCAGAGGCCGGGAGCCGAGGAACCTGTGTGTGGGAGAGGCAGTGACAATGAATGTGAGAGATTAGTTCCCTACAGGAGGTTGATCAGGTAAGTAAATACACCCAGGGTCCAGGGAGCCAGGGTTCTCGCTGTCAGACACGGAAAGAGAAAACCCTGGAATGCACTTTGTGGTGTGCAGTGGGAAAGGAGGCGTTGACGTGGCTCATGGTTTTCAGTAGACATGGGTGTAGACATATGTGGAGAGGTGCCTATGGGTGTGTGTGTGTGTGTGTGCGCACAGACATATGCACACATATTCCCTGTCTGTCCACTGTGAGGGCCTGGGAGCCGTGACATTCTGATGCCAACGTGCACACCTAGTGCCCAGATTTTGATTTCTACGTATGCCACAGGCTTTATAGGTTCACTTTTAACGGATGTTTAGTGTTCATTTTTTTGCTGTTACAAATAGCATTGCTGTCAGTGTTTGTATGTATGATTCCTTGTACACACACGCGTGAGTTTTAGCGGGAGTTATGCAAATGTAACTTTACATTCACAGCATTATTGGAACTACAGGTAAGGCTTGCCTTGACATGGCCATTGACATTTTGTGCTAAGCTGATGACTATGGGTGTTTTCTGGGAATCGTAATGGTCCTTTTGCCATTTTCTTGTACGTTGTACACCTGAGTTAGCAATCTGTTGTTAGAGTGTTTACTTCCATCACATATTTATTGATTGCCTCGCCAGCGTGAGGGCCTGTGTGAGGCGCTGGGGAGAAAGCTGAGTTAGTTCTCACAGACAGAAGTGCACTTTCCATGTGTTGCAAGGCTGTGTGGGAAAAGCACAAGCACCCTCCTTCTTGTATTGGTTATCTGTGATCGTGTGCCCCAAACTTAGCAGCTGAAAGCGGCCAACATTGATTGTCTCACGCAGTTTCCGAGGGTCAGGAACCAGGAGCAGCTCGGCTGGCTGTTTCTGGTGCTCAGGGTCTGGCAAGGTTGTAATAAGGCTGGGGCTGCTGCCTCCGGAAGGCTTCTCTGAGTGGGAGGACTCGCTTGCAAGGTCACTCATGTGGCTGTTGGCGAGAGGCCTCCACACCACATAGACCTCTTTCTCCCAGAGCAAATGATCTGAGAAAAAGAGAGAGAGAGAGAGAGAGAGAGAGAGAGAGAGAGCGCTTAATTGCACCCAACCAAGATGGAAGCCAGAGACTTTTAACATCTGACCCCGGCAGTGACACACCGTCACGTCCTCTGTAATCTGCTGGTCCCACAGACCCACCCTGGTACCATGCGGTCAAAGACGACCCAAGGGTGTGCATACCAGGAGGCAGGGGTCCTGGGGCCATCTTGGAGGCCGGCTACCACACGTCTCCAATCTGAATGTGCCTAGTTAGTTTTAATCGATATCAGAAGATGCACAGGTACCTTGTTTGGGCCTGAGGGATGTTGATGAGGGCCCTGGCAGGGAGGAAAATCCAGGGAGCCCAAGTCTTGGCTTTGAATGAGTGACGGGCATTAGTCCAGTGAGCTGGCCCAGGAAGGAGCCATATTGAGACATCACCTGAGAGAGTTCAGTGGCCCCCACCCTTCAAGTAGCTGGGCCAGCAAAGGTCTTCAGGTGACTCTGAGCCCTCCCTGCCTTCAGGGACTGAGACCAAAAGTCCTGTGAGCCAGCCCTGGTGGCCTAGTGGTTGAAGTTCAGTGCACTCTGCTTCAGTGGCTCGGGGTTCAGTTCCTGGGTGTGAAGCCCACACCACTTGTCTGTCAGTAGTCATGCTGTGGCGGCAGCTCATATGGAAGAACTAGAAGGACTTAGAACTAGAATATACAACCATGCTTGGGGCTTTGGGGAGGAAAAAAAAGAGAGGAAGATTGGCAACATATGTTAGCTCAGGGCGAATCTTTCCCAGCAAAAAAAAAAAAAAAAAAAAAAAATCTTGCCAAGTGGGTGGTAGAGCCTCACCCATCCCCTGTCAGTCTGAACATTCAGAGCTGGGCGGGTTGTTGGTGAGTTGGCGACCCCGGTGGTGGAGGGTCTATCCTGCGCTTTTGAGGAAAATGAGAATTATTCATAGATGGTGGTGTGGGATGGGAGAGAGAATTTTCTTGGGCATGAGAACTAGTGAGACCCTCTGGTCCGGAGGACCTCTGAGTAAATCAGACGGAACCTTCAGCTTTCTAGTTGGATGAGGATTGGTTGAATTATTGATCAATGTCCGCTTGAATCAATAATTAAGAAACTTCAGGGCCTCCACGTGGGCCCTGTGTGTCATGGCTGTTGAGCTGAAATGTGAGCTCTGCCCTGCATCTCCTGTGGGCACTGAGAAAGAAACACGCCGAAGAAGGACCAGTCCCCTGATGGGGTGCCTGTTAGAGTTAACTTTCTGAAGGTCCTCACGGAGACAGAGGGCTTCCAGTTGGCACACCCCAAAGGCAAAACTTCGAGAATTGAGTTCAGCGATAATTCTGTGCCTTGACTGGAAGCTTTGTTGTGTTGCCTCAAGGACCCCCCAAGTTGAGAAGGGGGTGTGTGGTCACCTCTATTTACAGGTGAGCAAATGGCAAATGGTCCTGGGTCTGCTTCGACCACGGGCTTGCTGCGAAGTGGACAGGTCACCTCGTAACGGCTCTGCTCATCTCCTTCCTCTGTTCTGGGTCCCATGTGGTCCCAATAAACGAAAAGGATAATTTTTAAATGCTCCAGAAGGACATTATGTTAAGTGAAAGAAGCCAGACACAGAAAGACAAATACGGCCCGGTCTCACTTACATGTGGAATCTAAAAATGTCAAAGTCACGAAAGTGGAGAGTAGAGTGGCACTTGCGAGGGGCCGAGGGTGGGGGAGACGCAGAGATGTTGGCCAAAGAGTGCAGAGGTTCAGTTACGCTGGGTGAGAAAGTTCCGGAGATCTCATGTGCGGTACGGTGACTGTGGGATTGCATACCTGCAGTTTGCTGAGGGAGTTGATCTTCAGTGTTCTTACCACAAAAAAGAGCTGTAACTGCGTGAGGTGGGGGGTGTGGTCGCGCGCTTGCCTGTGGTCTTCATTTCACAATGTGTATGTCGAGCCTTCTCATGCACCTGAAAGATGTACAATGTTTATTTGTCAAGTGGACGCCAATAAAGTTGTAGAATGAATAAATAAGATGTTAATAGTGAAAATAACAATGCTCCAGAGCACATAGACGTGGGGGTAAAGGCTTTTAATTCCATGCCACCGTCCCAAACCGTGCACATCCCCCTCATCCTTTCAAATTCAGAGAACCCGCATTGTGCTCCTACTCAACACTGAGGAAAAAACACAGATGAAAAACATAGTTCTTCACAGGATAGAAGTCATGACGCAGGGGAGAGAGATCTAAGGATGGAAGTAATACGAGAATGATTTCACTGATACTGCAAGGGTCCAGTGTGAACAGCTAAGAAATCCTGAGGGAAGAGGAGACCAGACTTTGTGCAATCTGGGAACACTGCATGGAGGAGGTGGCGTCTGATCTGGGGCTTGAGTGATCCGTCAGACTTGAGTGGAGGGGTGGTTGATAGAGGGGAGCTGGGAGCAGTCAGTCAGTGTTCAGACCATCTTTGCTGAGCTCTGTGGACTTCAGTGAGTTTACTGAACTTTATTCCTGTTAACTTCTGTGTTGGCGAAATAGACATCACTCCTTTCTTCAAAAAACTTTTGATGGGCCGTCCCTGTGGCTGAGTGGTTAACTTTGCGCACTCTGCTTCGGTGACCTGGGTTGCCGGTTCGGATCCTGGGCGCAGACCTAACACCACTTATGAGGCCATGCTGTGGTGGCGACCCACACAGAAGAACTAGAAGGACGTACAACTAGAATATGCAACTATGTACTGGGGCTTTGGGGAGAAAAGAAAAAAAAGAGGAAGATTGGCAACAGATGTTAGCTCAGGGCCAATCTTCCTCACCAAAAAAGCATACCTTTTAAAAAAAACCACAAACACTTTGGGAAATTGCTGGAATTGCAATACCATTGGCATTCCCTTTAAAAAAAAAAAAAGAAAAATTTAGACAATTGGGTGAGGTAGTCTATGTGGAAGTATTCTATCTATTATTAAACGTACTGAGCAAATGACAGATGACTAGATTATCTAAAGGAAGCTGCAGGAGCTAAGATGGAAATACGGGAGACATTCCTCAAATGGTCAGTAATACAGTGGATAGGGAGAGTGGATGGGGGTGTATGGGTGTGTGTACACACGCTTGTGACAAGATGGTTTTGAGCATTTAGTTTGAGTGAGTGAGTTGGGAGCCGGTTCTGGACGCTGACGCCTTGAGTTTGCCGAGGAGGAAAAGCGCCCACTGGAGATTTCTTCTAACCAGAGGAGCGATCGCGCCCAGCAGTGGTTGGGTGCCTTTGGGGGCCACAGGGTCATCCGTGAAGGCTCAGCACATCCCATGTCCCTCCTCTCAGTGGTTGCCTTACTGTCCACACACGTTTATGAAGGGCCTACTGTGTGTCAGTGTTGATTCAAGCGTGAGACCGTGGTGAACAGGAGAAACGAGAGCTCGGCCCTTAGGGAGCCCACTCCAGTGGAAGCTGGATAAAAAGCAAAGGCTTAGGTCTGTGTGTGACGCCCAGAAATGGCAGCAGGTACCGTGGTGGAATCGCCTGCCTGGATGGGAGCTGTTGACTGTGAGCTGAACGGATCTCCATTCTGTTTTCCTCATGAAAACTTTTACACCAAAAGGTGTCGAGAACAATTTTGATTAAAGAGAAGGGGCACCGTGTTCCCCAAGTAGGATTGTTGTAGCACTTGTAGCAGATAAGGAACATTTTGGAGTTTTGTTTCTTCCAAGTACCTGCTGAGGTAGAAACATTAAGTTGTTCAGTTCTTGGCATTGTTTCTTAACTGATCTTAGCTGTTTTAAAACAAAAAACAGGGGCCAGCCTGGTGGCGTAGTGGTTAGGTTCCATGCACTCCACTTTGGCAGCCTGGGGTTTGTTCACAGGTTCGGGTTCCGGGTGCAGACCAACCCACTGCTCATCAAGCCATGCTGTGGTGGCGTCCCACGTATAAAGTAGAGGAAGATGGGCACGGATGTTAGCTCAGGGCCAGGCTTCCTCAGCAAAAAGAGGAGGATTGGCTGCGGATGTTAGCTCTGGGCTAATCTTCCTCACCAAAAAAACAAAAAACAAAAACCCCAAAACAATGAGTAATAATTTAAAATACAGGCTAGTGTTTGTAAGTTTTCCTTTCTTGAGAAACTTCTCATTTCTCAGGCATTTTTTTTTTTTAATTATAGGATGAGTTAACTTCTGGCCCCTAAATTGTTGGAATTCAATGTCAACCGCTTTTGTAGCCGGAAGAGACAGGTTTGGCATCATCACATGTTAGGAGCGTGGTTTCTCTTTGCAGCCGAGTTTCCGTGATGTGGTTGGGTTCATTAACAGTGCCCGGTCAAAACCTGTGGCTCCCTCGGACCGTCTGTAGTTGTGTGGGGGTTACTTTGGCCTTGTGAGTTGGCTTCATTTTTGTTCTCTGGCGTTTTGTAGCAGTGTTGAGGCGGGTTAGCCCTGCTGCTGTTCCTGCTGGCAGTAATGCAGGCAGCCTAGCATCTAAGCTCTCACACGGGGCCCTCCTTCCATGGTGGCCGCTCCGTCTCTTTGAATGCTCAGTGTTACCCTCAGTACCAGTGCAGGAAATAGACAGAAGTGTTTTTTGTTTTTTGTTTTGAGGAAGATGATGGTGAACCCTGGGCTGCCAAAGCGGAACATGCACACTTAACCGCTGCGCCACTGGACCGGCCCCTACAGAATTGTTTTTAGGTTTGAAGACATCCTTTTGTGAGCCAGCCCTGATGGCCTAGAGGTTAAAGTTTGGTGCTCACTACTTCCGTGGCCTGGGTACAGTTCTCGGTCATAGAACCACGCCACATGCCATGTCAGCGGCTCATGTACAAGAACCTACAACTAGAATATACAACTATGCTCTGGGACTTTGGGAAGGAAAACAAACAGGAAGGGAAGATGGGCAACAGATGTTAGCTCAGGGCCAGTCTTTCCCAGCACAGAAAAAAAGAAAGAAAGAAAGAAATCTTTTTCTGACTTTAAACGTATTAATGTCAGCCGTTTTTAATAACCATTATGCAAGAGTGAAATTTTCTCTAGGCTGATGAGCCACATCTATTGAAAAGTACAGTAGTTTGTTTCCTTTTAGTTTGTGATTCAGAGACTCTAATTGAGTGATAATCAAGAATCAACAGCATTTGCTTTTCAGTGTTTGAAGATTTAAGGAGCAAAGTATACTTCAGTGGGCTGTCATTTGACAGGTTGAGTTATTGTGCTCCGGAGAAAAAAGCTGCAGGAAGCTACAAAGGAATTATCTTGTTTCAAAGTGATTTTTCAAGAGGAAGCACTTTCTGCTGGTTTCTGAATATTTAATGAAAATAAATGGCATTTACAAAATAGATACAGGATTAAAACATAGACAGTGCACCTGCCTTTGCATTCTAACGCCCCTCCCCCCGTAATAACTGCTTTTAATGCTTTTGACGCTGTCTTTCCAGATTTTTCTGTGCATGTTTGTATTCTATAAAAATCGATTTATATTCTATATACTGTTCTTAATTTTTCGTTCAACAATATGTTATAGATATCTTTCTGTCATTTATATGCACAGACTGTACAAATCTATTTCTTCTTGTTTTGGCTGCTAAATAGTGTTTAGTTATCTGAATGAAGCCTGATTTAACCAGGCGCTTACTAATAGACTTTTATTCCCCCCTCCCATTTTTGCTCTGATGACATAACCCTTTAATGAGAGTTCTTGTACATACATCTAAGTATACTTTCTATTATTTCCTAAGGAAATAGTTACAAGTAGATTTATTGGATATTACATTACATTTAAAAAATATATTGGCATTAAAGAAAACAAAAGTAAACGCAGAGAGTATATGTAAAAACTGATGAAATCTGAGTAAAGTCTGCATTTGAGTTAAAAATATTATGCCAGTATCAGTTTCCCGGCCTTGACAATGTGCGGTGGTTGTGGGTGACACTCTTGGGGCAAGCTGGGGGGAGGGTCACAGGAACCCTCTTTCTATTTTTGCAACTTCTTGTGTGTCTTAAACTATTTCGAAATAAAATGCTTTTTAAAAATATATATTGCCAATCCAGGAAGGTTGTATCCACTTTAACTTCCATTAAGAGTGGATGAAGCTCCCGACCAGGGGCCTCCAGGCAGGAGACATTAGCATCAGGCAGAAGAAAATCTCCCTGTGCTTGGGGTATTGGTTACGTCCAGGGATCTGAGCACATAAGTAGGTATAAAGAGGATAATGGGAGCCGGAGAAGGCAGGCACAAATATAGAAAGCAGGAAGGCTAGAAGAAAACATGTCGTTGAGTTGTAAGTGGAGGTATCAGTATGAATTTATGGTCTCGAATATATAGAGATAGTTATAGAAATAGAGATTTGACTTTCTCTGATTTAAAGAGGCAAGCATCTTTTTGAATATTCACTGGCTGTTTTCTTTCTTCGTAGTTGAGTTGCACTGTACTTTCCTTGGTCCATTTTTCTGTTGAGGCTTCCTTTTTTTTTTTTTTTTTTTTTTTTCTGATTTGCAAGAAATCTTAAGAGTGTAGATTCTTACTGGTGGTGCCTTTATTGGTGGTACTTTTTGCCAGACATTTTATGGAGTTAATTCATTGACCTTTTCCTTCATGATTCTTTGGTCACGTTGTATTTCGTCTTATTTGTTTACAAGTCTGTGATCCAGGAATTCAGGCAGGGCCCAGCTGGATGGTTCTTTTCCTCTATGTCGTGCCTGGGGTTGCTCGCTCAGCTCCATTCGGCTGGTAGCTGGGCCGGCCTGGAAGATCCACAGAGACCTCATGTCCGTGTCTGGTGCCTCAGTGCTCCTCCACATGGGCCCTCTCTCTCCACAGGGCTAGCTTGAGCTCACCAATGGGCGGGAGCAGAAGTTCGCTTGGCGGGATGTGTTAAGACAGGTGGTCTTTCGAATCCCAGCCTACCTACTGAGCAAGTTTTGAGCCATGAGTTAGCTCTCTGATTATTTCCCTTTTTCTCGCTGGTTTTGTCTTCTCAGGACTCCCTCCTTCCTCAAGAGATTATCATCAAGGTCGAGGGAGAAGATGCTGCGTCGCTGGCCATCCCATCCCAGGTGAGTTGGACGTGGGCTCTTTACACTGAGAAATGTGCCTGGCTGGTTGGTGGCAGAGGCCAGATAGAAGTGAGGAAATGGAGATAGGAGTGGACAGCCTTTACAAACCCTTGGGTAGCATGTGGAAGATTGAAGAGAATGAGAGCCATGACAAAATTTGAGCGTGAGCAGCTTTTTAATTTTTTTCTCGAAGGATTGAAAACATTTGATCCTGTTAAGTGGTTACAGGACAGGGGCGATGGAGAAAAAGAAGTTAACAATTGGGAGAGAGAGGTGATAAAACTGTAAGGCAGAATCCTTGATTAGTGCCAGGGGAATTAATTCAGAGCGTGGGTGAGGAAGAAGGCTCCGCAGAGGAAGGAGGACTCATGCAGGAAGACAGAGGTTGACGGAGTTATTTGAGGGCTTGGATTTTTCTCTTGGACAGTCAGATAAAGTTGTCTGTTGGGCTTCAGGTGGGAGATGGAGAGACGTTTGACAAGGACGGAGAAGGCCTCCAACAGTAATTTTGGATTATGAGAGAACAAGCTGCTCCAGGAAGTATCGTAGGGTTGCCGGTGGGTCTGAAAGGATCATTCCAAGAGAGTGAGCAGTAATTGATAATACTCTATCCGGCTGCTTCTGTGGGTTTTTTCCAGGGGCATTCTGTAACCTACTTTTCATGGATAGCAGATTGACATTCAGATTTGCTCAGTTTTTGTAAATCTGCCAGATACGTTCAGTGGAAGCCCCGTAGGTCAAGGTAGTATTAGAGAGAGAATTTTTGCGTATGTCAAATAGATTAAAATGAATTATCTATGGACTGTAAGCTGAATAATTAAGATGGAAGAGATAAAGAGAACACTAACTAGAAAGGAAAGAATATAGATCAGGAGTTGATAATAGCAGACGTTTGAGTAGAATAGTGGCCCCAAACTGTTGAAGAAGAAGGGCAAAGTGAATAACTGAGCAAGAAAGGTGGAGCAGTCTGGTGTTGTAATAAATAGTAATAATCTGATGTTGTAATCAAAAACGGTAATAATCCAGGGCCAGCCCAGTGGCATAGTGGTTAAGTTTGCGCACTCTACTTTGACAGCCCAGGGTTCATGGGTTCAGATCTCGGTTGCGGACCTACACACTACCCAGCAAGCCACGCTGTGGTGGCGTCCCACATATAAAATAGAGGAAGATTGGCACAGATGTTAGCTCAGGGCCAATCTTCCTCACCAAAAATAATAATATAATAATCTGATATAATCGAAGAGTGGGCAGTTCTGTATGTGTGACTTAAGAGTTGGAGTACTTTACAGTGATTCCAAGACCCTCTGGGGTCTCACCCTAAGAGTGAGGCGCTGAAGAACAATCCTAGGGTCTGGGAGTTGGGCTAGTCCTATGAATCAATGACTGGAGACAGTCTCTGGTGTCAGGCAAACTTGAGGTTGCATCTCAGCTACCGACCTCAGGCATATGCATTAATTTCTCTAAGCTTCTAATTCTTCATCTGAAAAATGCTGCTACTAATAGTATTTTCTTACAGGGACCTTGTAAGAATTAAATGGATGATAGTTCTTAGCACACCACCTGATGGCACATGTTAAGCGCTTCATTCAAGTCACTTATTTTTATATTGTCATGAGAGAACTCTACAAGTGCATCCCGTGGATGATGCAGGATGAAACAATACAAGTTCTTGAATTAGAGGTCAGGTCCTGGGTTTAAGTCTTCAGTGGAGGAGGGTGGTGGTGTTCGAGAGGTTGGTAGGACAAAGCTGCAAGAAGTGGGGTAAATGGCATGAGTTTCAGTGTAACTGGGAGGACGCACACGCTCCCCCTTTGGTGCTGAGCCCCCTGGGATGGGAGAGCATTACCGCCCTGAGCCTGTGAGGGCTTAGCAGGAGGGGGTCCCTGGGGCCAGGTATAGGTTTCCATTAACACAGGGATGCAGAGGGTAGAGGTGGTGAAGGATGCTGAAGCTGTGGGATTTCATTATTGCGGAACTTGAGTTCCCGAGGGCCTGGTGGGACGGCTCTGGAAGGAATTTGGGGGAGTGCAGAGTTTGGCATGGGTGAGAGGAAGAACAGAACGAGTGGAGACAGGAGTCTGGAAGAGCCGGTGTCCGCGCATGGAAGGACTTTTTCAAATGGGTCTGCGATAGGCCTTGTGAGATTCAGGTGAGGGGAGAGGGCTTAAATCAGAATTGGGACCAGGATTATTTTGATATATTACTGTCTCTTGATACTATTGATTCACATATTGAAATAATTTACCAAAGACGTAGTTATTATGGACTATGCAGCCACCCTGCACTAAACCCTGGAGTTACCGTTGCAGACTGTAAATACCTTGTCCCTGCCCCGTGCATGGAGCCTGGTGACAAAGTTGACCATTCTGCAAATGATAAGAGAATGTGCTGTTTTGATGGCAGTCCCTGGGACTTTGAGAGCGTGGAGCCAGGAGTGGAGCGGGACGTGCTCATCTAGTCTAGCATCATTTGGTTGACATTTGGACAAGGCTCATGTTACAGGGACCTACAGTAATCGGCGAAGGGGGGAAGTGTTTATGAAAAGGAAGCGTGGATTGGACGCTGGAAAACAGTATCTCTAGATCTGTGTTCAATACTGGTGGCAGTTTGCAGATGATGTTTCTGAATCCTGTTTTGGGCTAATCATGAAAATCTTTGAGATTTTGGTGAAATTTATGGGCCCCAACTTAGAGAAATGCATGTCCTGTAGCATTCTGCATGGAGTTTCGTGGGATTCAGGGACCCTGTGTTCTAGTCATGACCCACAGCGTAAGAACGTCTGATCTGTTGAAGAAATCTTTAGTGGCGAGTGGCATGGGCCTTCCCTGCATTTTGCTGCCTTTCGGTGAGGACAATCACCCTCAGCACTTCTTTTTTGGATCAGAATTCCTGCCCGATAGTCTTGGGAAACAGGTCCTTTCTTGCTTAGAGGAGGCAGGCCGAGAGGCCCCTTTACATGGCAGTAAAGTGTCTCCTGAAGGCCCCACGGTGCAGCTCTGAGTGTCGACAAAATAGAACTGTCAGCTGAAGATGAAGAGTTCAGGATGGAGGCTACGTTGGCCGTCAGTTAATTATTCAGGATTTTCAGACCTAATAATCCTAGTAATAATTGCCAGCCTTTATTTTTTGTTTAGTAAAGTCTGCCAATATATATAGCTTTCCCTATATTGTCACAATTAATTCACTCAAAACCCAATGAGTTTGGGTATGATTAAGCCCAATAAACAGAAATAGAATAAACCCACCATTGAAAGACCGATTGTCAGATACATATATTTTTTTAAATTCAGACATAGGCTCTTTATAGGTTGGAAAATCCAAGCTTCTTTTCTTCCACATCTGGTGCTCTTACCCTATTCACACTGCCTTTCATTAAGGCCCACATTTCATCTTCTTTCTCAGGCATCAGCAAAGTAAAGCCCGTGGGCCCAATTTGGCCCTCTGCCTGTTTTTGTAAGTACCATTTTATTGTAATACAGCCGTGCCCGTTTGTTCATATATTTTCTGTGGCTGCTTTCTTGCTACACCAGCATTGCTGAGTAGCTGTGATGGGGACTGCATGGCTTGCAAAGCCTAAAATACTCACTCTCCGGCCTTTGACAGACAAAGTTTGCTGACCGTTCTGTTAGTTGCTTGGGAATTTGGAGGGAATTGCGTTTTCACCAGTGCAAAAGTCAGCATAGGCATTTTCTTTAAGGTGGACAAGAGGGAAAACAATTTATATCAGTTCTTATCTGGGGTTCCTCTTTGGGGTTGAAAAAACAGGTCCAGCATCCGAAACCCAAAGGGGCTCCCCCAGAAGACACCTGTACACTTTGACTAGAATCCTTTGAACGCTGGCAATCTTAGGACAACTTCCAGGCCATCAGATTTTTCTTTTTCCATGTGTCAGACTTTTCCTCCTCTGTGAACACTGGAGGGAAAGGATGCCCAGCTGAACGGGAATGTGTGTCCTGTTTTAGGAAGGCGTGAACTTCAAGATTGTGACTGTGGGCTTCACGCAGGAGGACGAGGGCATTTTGAACCCTGCTCCGAAGACCCTGGACAGAGATGTGATCCTGGAGAACCACAGGGACCTGGTCTCTTGGGGTAAGAATACAGTCTCCTTTAATAGAAGTCTGTATATTGAAATTACTTCTCATTTCTATCAATTCCAAGTTATGGAGTTCAGAGGCCTGAATGATCTTGGCCACACATAGGTTGTGTTTATGGGTTTTATTCCTCAGTGAAGATTTAATTTTAATTTGTAGGGCAGAAAAGGTACAGCTTCTTGGAGCTTGTTCAGTCTTCATGGTTTCCAAAGGCCTAAGACTGGGACCAAATTCTGCAGTGATTTTATTTTTTTTTCTCCAGCCCAGCACCCAAAATCCTGTATCTTTCCCTATGAGCTTTTCAAACCAGACTTAATCTTTTGGTTGGAGCAAGCAGATGAGTATAAAAGGAATTCCCCAGCACACATATCCAAATGAGAAACAGACACATAGAAGGGAGTAAAGAAATTTTTTTTTAACGAGCTCTTTTCTTTTTTTTTTTTGAGATTGGCTCCTGAGCTAACAACTGTTGCCAATCTTTATTTTATTTTTTTCTGCTTTTTCTCCCCAAATCCCCCTCTGGTACATAGTTGTATATCTTAGTTGCAGGTCCTTCTAGTTGTGGCATGTGGGACGCCACCTCAGCATGGCCTGATGAGTGGTGCCACGTCCTCGCCCAGGATCCAAACTGGCGAAATCCTGGGCTGCTGAAATGGAGTGCATGAACTTAACCACTTGGCCACAGGGCCGGCCCCCTAGAAATTTTGATTGAAAGGCATGCTGCATTTTCCTCTGTCTCCCACCCTGCAGTGGATTGTACATCACTGCTTTTTCCAGATACTCTCTATTGCTGGACCTTGTAGCCACCCAGGCTTCTGCTTCCAAGCTAACCTCCATTCTCTTGCAGTTGCAGGACTCCCCGTAAGGCAGTTAGAGAACTGAGATAACAGTGCCCCCATTGTTTTTCCTAGTTCCCAAATGTACTTTGCCCAGGTCTTACTGACACAGACTGTGCTAGCAAGTTTCGTGCCTTCAGAAATTCCTAGAAATGTAGGCGCTAATCTGTTATTTCAGTAAACTTGTGTTTAGCACTAAAGAGGGCAAAAGGGGACCCTTTATTTCTTTGCTAAGGATTGCAAAGTTGTGAGATTTTGTAGTTCTGCATAGGTGATCTTATTTTGGAATATGGAAATTTTGATTTTGCATCTAAAGTCTTATGCATTCAGCAAAACTAACATTAAAACAGTCCCATTTTAGTGCCCTATTATACTGTTGGGCTGTGGTGGTCCTCTGTGTTCTGCTTCCTCCCACCCTTTTGCTTTCTCTTTCCAGGTTATGGTAACTGAAAACTAATCCACGTGTGTTTTGCATACTCTCTTGTCAGCTTTATTCCTCTATTCCAGGTCTGACACTTTTTGGCTAGGGTGTTTCATTTTGCTTTCTTCCAGACTTGGCAGCCGCCCTTGGAAGAAGAGAATCAACCTCAGAGCAGAACACGTTGGATGATGAGCCGTCCCAGGGAGTGAAGATAGAAGAGTTGACAAGAGATGATCCTTGGTTATCTTCCTGTGGAGAAGTTCAGGATTATAAGGACCAGTTGGAGAAACAACAGGAAAAACAGGAGAGACTTCTGAAGGAAGGGGCCTTCACTCAAAGGAAAGCTGTTTCTCATGAGAGGGTCTGCAAAGGTGATGAACTTGAGAAGGGGGGTCTGAATTCCAGTCTTCTTCCACCCCAGATGATACCCGTAAGAAACCATTTTCATAAACATGCTTCACATGTTAACAGGTTGCGTCATAATTGTCTCGTCAACAGTCATCAGATGGTTGATGACAGTGAGAAACTGCTTGAGAATAATGGATGCGGAAAACCTCAGAGCATTCACCTTATTCAGTTTACAAGAACTCAACAGGAAGATAAGTCCTATGGACTTAGTGACAGCATTCAGTCTTTTAGCCTTGGTACGCCCCTAAATATACGTGAGAAAATAGGTGCAAGAGGAAAAGCCTTTGATTTTAAGGAACGTGGGCACGTTTTGAAGCACAGCCTATCCCACAATGAACAACAGAGAATCTCTGTTCAAGAGAGTCAGTGCAAATTTAGTAAAACCTCCCAGAGTTCATCCCTTGCCCAAAACGTGAGAAATCATTCTGAAGAGAAACCCTTTGAATGTAACCAATGTGGGAAATCCTTCAGCTGGAGCTCTCATCTCATTGCCCATCAGAGGACTCACACAGGGGAGAAACCCTATGAGTGTAACGAATGTGGGAAATCCTTCAGCCGGAGCTCTCACCTCGTTTCCCACCAGAGAACTCATACTGGAGAGAAACCTTATAGATGTAATCAGTGTGGGAAATCCTTTAGCCAGAGCTATGTCCTTGTCGTGCATCAGCGAACCCATACTGGAGAGAAGCCTTACGAATGCAGTCAGTGTGGAAAGTCATTTAGGCAGAGCTACAAGCTTATCGCCCATCAGAGAACTCATACTGGAGAGAAGCCCTATGAATGCAATCAGTGTGGGAAATCCTTTATTCAGAGCTATAAACTTATTGCGCATCAGAGAATTCATACTGGAGAAAAACCCTACGAGTGCCATCAGTGTGGAAAGTCCTTCAGTCAGAGTTATAAACTTGTCGCCCATCAGAGAACCCACACAGGAGAAAAGCCCTTCGAATGCAATCAGTGTGGGAAATCCTTCAGCTGGAGCTCTCAGCTGGTTGCCCATCAAAGAACTCACACTGGAGAGAAGCCCTACGAATGTAGCGAGTGTGGGAAATCTTTCAACCGCAGTTCTCACCTCGTCATGCACCAGAGAACGCACACTGGAGAAAAACCCTACGAGTGTAATCAGTGTGGGAAGTCCTTCAGCCAGAGTTACGTTCTGGTCGTGCATCAGAGGACTCACACTGGAGAGAAGCCGTACGAGTGCGGTCAGTGTGGGAAATCCTTCAGGCAGAGCTCGTGCCTTACTCAGCATCAGAGAACTCACACTGGAGAGAAACCCTACGAGTGTAATCAGTGCGGGAAAACGTTCAGCTTGAGTGCTCGGCTCATTGTCCATCAAAGGACTCATACTGGAGAGAAACCCTTCACGTGTGGTCATTGTGGGAAAGCTTTTATTAACAGCTCTAAACTTATTAGGCATCAGGCAACTCATACAGAAGAGAGACCCTATGAATGTAGCTAGTTTGGAAACCTTGCCACCGAAGTTTCTTTTCTTTCCTTTTTTCTTCTTTCTTTCAGGGGAATCCATTTGTTGGGAAGAGCTGGTGTAAGAACAGCGTGTGTGGAAAAGCTTTCAGTTCATCTTCTATTATTGTGTATCTGGAAATTTGTTCTGGAGAAGAAAGGAATGGAAACGATGAATCACATATTTTACTTAGCAATTCCGTATTCAAAATCAAACTTAGCCCTTATGACGTATTTCCACAAAAGTAGTAGGTATTGGCACTTTTCCTTGCAGAAAACACTCAGACCCAAATCTGGGAGAATTGCCATTAAGTGGGCAATATGCTGTGGAATGAGTGTGAGTGAAGTAGGGTTCTTTTCCAATAAAGAGTTGATGAGACGGCCAGCACGGGTGGGCTTCTTGTTGAGAGGGTTGTAGTTAATAGCACTTATGCTGGAAAACAGTATTTCTGTGTATCATTTGACCACGCAATTTCCCCAGTAGCTGCTTTGTAATCTGTTTCATACAGCACTTTCTCTTATTGTGAAGATTTTATAAAAATTAGGAAAATGGCTAAGGTATGAAGTGAAAAATACAGGACAAGAAAATACAACATTCATTTCTAGAACCACTGTGATAAGATATTTGTGTATGGATCAGGATCGAAAGGAATTCTGGGTGTATCTGTTTGATTTTTAAGTTTATGCCTGGTTTTCTCTTTTTTGGATTCTATGCTATTTTGCTATAATAAAAGATTTGATGAGTAAAAATGAGTCAAAGACACAGATACACAAAAACAGAGTTTTTCATCTCTTTTGTCTAACCTTTTAGGAAGGACTGGGTGGCCAGATAGCAAAGATTCCTCAGCACTCTGAGATTGCTGTTTGGATCAGCACAAGCAGGTCATCTGTAGGACTTAGAGCCCAGGGATAGTCTCCATTGAAAATAAAATATTTGCCTAGGAATGTGGACCTGGAAGTTTAGGCCAGAAAGGGTTCTGTATGGGTTTCAGAATGCATGGGCAGTACAGTGGGCATTTTCTTCATATATACAGAACAGTATAAAGGAGTTCTATCTTTGAGGGATTTTTTCTCCTCTCACGTAGTATTGTCTTTTTTGTTCTGGGATATATTCCCTAATGTGAGTTCTGAGTGGCAATCACTCCCCTGGCGAAGTGCTCATCACCTAAATTGACCTTGCAAGAATGTTTTTGGAGAGGCGAGATTGAAAGCTACTGATTTTTTTAGATTTAGTTTACATATTTTTCTAGTCTTTGTCCCTAAATCCTGAATTCTAATCTTGTGGATTTTCACGGACCTGAAACCTCTGATCCCAGAGCGTTAATGAAAAATAAGAGGAGAGGATAGAAAGAGAGAGAGAAGGAGAGAGAAAGCTAAAGTGACATTTGATAAGGGTTTCCCTTAGTAAAACTATGTCCCCACGAGATGACCCTAAGTGGAGCCATCTCTGTGAGGATTAAGCCAGAGAGTGCAGCACACCTGGCCATGACTGGAGGTCTGGGGGAATAAGTGTCAATGGCTGGAGGACTGGCTCCCCATCCCAAGAGCATCTTCAGTCCATGAAGGTCCTGAGGGAGAAACAGCAAGGGTTTTCCATATGTTGCCTTATGGGGAGGACATAAAATTGTGAAAAATCCTAATTTAGCAACGGGACCTGAAAAGGCTCCTTTTCCCCAAAGTTTTAGATACAACCAGTGTCCAGTTCTGGGTCCAAGTGGATGATCTTCCCCGGGTGTGTTGACTCTTACTTTTTAGGCAGGAGCCACCATTGTACAAATGAGAATAAAGCCAACGGGGCTATGAAGGAAGGCTCTGAAGATTTCAGGTTTGGGAAGTGATTTATTGAGAGCTCTTCAATAAATGTTAAAAGTACTTCGTTGAAAATGTGCACTTGGTAAAACTGCAAACAATTTTTGAAGTGAGTGTAAGTAATTGTGTGTGTGTGTTTCTGGCCAGGTTGAAAATGTGGATCATCTGTGCGCACTAAGTCATCAGTGTTATATGAGTCTCTAGGTGGTGATTTATGGTTGCCAGATGTTTTGAAGATAGATTCAGTAAATAAAAATGTTGATTTCTATCATCTGCTTAATAATTTCCTTTTGTAGGAGAGGCATTCTCTCCCCCCACCCCCACAGTTTTATTGAGAAATAGTTGACATGGTATTCTTTAAATTAAAAAATGGTCAACCAAAAATGAAGAGAAGTTAAAGTGACAGCCAAAAATATGTAAACTTCCGAACCTAAAATTTAGGGTTAAAAAGGAATTAGTAACTTGATTTTAATGACATATGTATGACATATATGTAATGACATATGTCCCTTGCATAAAAATTTCTTGTGTGTGTAAAATTCACAAAATTAAAGTTGTGCCTTGCCATAGAAAAATTTTATAGAGATTTTTTACAGGCCAAATTTCTTTCACCATAATCGCATAAAATTAGAAATAAGTGAAAGGTGACCGAAATGTTTTTAAGTACAGTCACACGCCACATAACATTTCGGTCAACAACAGACTGCATATATGATGGCAGTCCCGTAAGATTATAATGGAGCTGAAAGATTCCTGTTGCTTAGTGATGTTCTATTGTAATGTCATAGCACAACACATTGCTTGTGGGTTGGTGGTGATGCTGATGTAAATAAACACTGCACTGCCAGTTATATAAAAGCATAGCACTTAAAATTATGTACAGTACTTGAAAATACTTGGTAATAAATGACTGTGTTACTGGCTTATGTGTTTCCTATACTTTTTATCATTATTTTAGAGCGTGCTTTTTCTACTTATAAATAAAAAAGTTCACCATGAAATAGGATGCTGTGTCATGCCAGCAGCAGCCTCATACATCTTGTGTTTACCATATGTCTCGACTGTATCATTTCCTCTTGTGCTTGGTTTAGTCTCATGTTGTTTTGTTCATCATGGCCCCTAAGCGTACAAAACCCACCACTAAGGTCGCCGGTAAGAGGCCGTATCAAGTGATTGACCTGGAAATGAAATTAAAAGTGATTATGGACCACGAAGGAGGAAAATCAGTGATGGTTCTTCCTCGCCAGTCAGGCACGTCCCATTCCACCACAGCTTCAGTCTTGAAGAACAAGAACAAAGCGACAGAAGCTGTTAAAGGATCTGCTTCATTGAAGGCAGTGAGACTAATACAGATTTGAGAAGGGCCTATGTCAGACGTGGAGAAACTTCTAATGACCTGGACTGAAGGCCAGACACAGGAGCGTATCCCTCTCAGCACCATGACCATCACGGCCAAAGCAAAAGGTTTGTTTGCGATGTTGAAAGACAAGGCTAGACCTGACTACAATGTCGAATTTGCTATCTCTGGATGGTTTAAACAATTCCAGGATGGTTATTCATTACATAGTGTGAAAGTGAGTCATGAGTCTGCAAGTTCTGACGGGAAGGCAGCTGAAGAATTTTTGGAATTCTAGTAAAACCGATTGTGGAGGAAAGTTACTTGCCAGAGTAAATATTCAAAATGGATGGAACTCCGTATTCTGGGAACAGATGCCTGAAAGGGCTTTCATCCATAAGGAGGCCAAGTCAGTGCCAGGTTTCAAGGCTTTTAACGACAGGATAACAGTCTTGCTTGGGGGCAATATTGCAGGCTACAAATTAGAACCCTTTGTGATCTGACACAGTGAGAACCCCAGGGCCTTCGAGCATATCAATAAGCACACAATGTTACAGGAGCAATAAGAGGTCATGGATGACCCAGCTCCTCTTCCAAGATGCCCTCCTGAATTGCTATGCCAGTGAAATGGGGAAGTACTGTTTGCCAAATAATATGCCTTTCAAGATTTTCCTTATTGTTGATAATGTTCCTGGACATTCTCCTTTTATTGGTGGTCTTCATCCCAATATCAAAGTGGTGTTTCTCCCTCCAAACACCACCTCTGTGATCCAGTCACTGGATCAAGGAGTTATGGCAGCTTTTAAGGCCTACAGCCTGAGCAGCATGTTTGCCCAGGCTGCTGCTGCAACTGAGAAAGACACTGATGCACTTCTGGAAGGATGACAACATCTGTGACTGCATCAAGAACCTTGCTTGGGCTCAGGATGATGTCACCAAGGAGTGTATGAGTGGCATCTGGAAGAAGGCACTCAAGAGGTTTGTCCTTGACTTAGAAGGATTTGCTAAGGATGAGGAGGCTGTGGTTGAGAGGGCAAACAACTTACCCTGGGTGTGGATGAGGATGACACTAAGGAGCTCCTAGAGGTGGTTCCTGAGGAATTGACTAATGAGGAGTTGTTGGAACTGGAACAGGAATGCATAGCTAAGGAAGAGGGAAGAGAAAAGGAAACTCCAGGAGAAGGAAAAGAAGAACCCCCAAGAAAATGCACAGGGAAGGGTTTAGCAGAAGTTTCACAGACCTCAACAAGTTCCTGGAAAAGTCTGAAAACATGGAGCCCAACACTGGAAGGTTTTTGTTAATAGAGAGGCATGTTCATGGTGCATTATCAGCCACAAGCAAATCTGTGATGAAACAAACCAAGCCAACCACCATGGACATATTTCTGAAAAGAGTGGCACCTTCTCAAGATTGGCCTCAGGCGGGTCCTTCAGGAGGCATTCCAGGAGAAGGCTGTGTTAGCATTGGAGATGACAGCTCCATGCGTGTCATTGCCCCTGAAGACCTGCCAGTGGGACAAGATGTGCAGGTGGGAGATGGTGATGTTGATGATCCTGACCCCATGTAGGCCTGGCCTATTGTATGTATTTGTATCTTAGTTTTCAATTTAAAAGTTTAAAAAGTAAAAAGTAAAAAAAAAAAAAAAAAATTGAAAATAGAAAAAAGAAGCAGAGAATGAAAACTGAGCAGAATGTGGCTGAGCGCTTGGTTATTGGCCTTGACAAAGGGAGTTTCTCGGTGTTTCACAAAGATCCTGAGAATCACAGCTGTGAGTACAGACGAGGAAAGAGTGTTGCAGGCCAGCACCATCCCTAACATGTCTGCAAAGGCTAGGAAGGTCACGATTTGGGGGAGGCAGTGATCTCTTTCAGTGTTTGTGTCCTGAGGGCTGGGCACTCCACGCTGTGTTCCATATCTGAGAAAACAGATGCACACATTCCGGGTTTCACATTTGGTGATTCGTGCTTATTCCCATGACATAATCACGATCACATTTGTTATCACCGAAAATACCTACTGCCCATTGGGGCCACCCGGTGGCACAGCGGTTAAGTTTGCACGGTCTGCTTCTCAGTGGCCCAGGATTCGCTGGTTCGGATCCCGGGTGCAGACAAGACACTGCTTGGCAAGCCGTGCTGTGGTAGGTGTCCCACATATAAAGTAGAGGAAGATGGGTATGGATATGAGCTCAGGGCCAGTCTTCCTCAGCAGAAAGAGGAGGATTGGCAGCAGATGTTAGCTCAGGGCTAATCTTCCTCAAAAAGAAAAAAAGTACAGAAAATACTGTCAACCTCTGACATGATTTTCAGATACAAATCTACAAGCATATTACAGAGACCACATCCAGGTTGGCATTGTCCATTTCTCTGTTAGAACAAATGCCTTTACCCACAATTATCAGAAAACCTCGCTCCACGTTTGGAGTGGCTTTTGCTGTTTGGTTGGTGCGTTGGTTAAACAACGTCCTTGAGGTCTTTCACTTCATCTCTCTGCTTTGCTGTCCCCAGGAGATGCTTCATTTTGTGGCCTCTTCCCCTCATAGTGATACAACGTGGCCTGCAGCTTCATCATTCCCATTTGAACTGGGAGAGAAAGGCTTCCTGTAACTTTCCCAGAAGAGCAAGGAAGGCATTTTCTAGGAATCCTCTGCTCCTCGTATCCTTCAACCCGAGCGGTGGATGGAGATATCATTTTACTGATAAAAGTAAAAGCTCCTTTTACTTTTTTTAATCTTTCCTTCAAACTCCTGGAGCCATCATGGGCAAAGGCTATGAGATTACCATCAGACAAATAAAATCAAACTCTGAAGATGAGGGTAGCATGAACCCCTCACGAAAAACATGGCCAGGCTGTGGGGACGTAGACGCATGAGCACACTTTTCATGAGAGGCAGGGGGAGGAAGGAAGCTTGAGAGACAACAAAGAACATTCTAACGATGCTTGTTTTATGTATATTTTGTGTTACAAGGACAAGGATGACATTATCATTTATCTTTTAGCACATGGAAAGGAACTTATTTTTTTTGCTTCTTCTCACGAAAATAGCCCTTCTTATACATCCCTTTTCAAGGTGATGTCCTTATTGTATTAATTCAACCAATAAGTTTATTGAATAATTTCAATGAGTAAAACGCTTTGCTAAACTCAAGGGGAAGATTACAAAACTCTTCATTCCTCTTTTCTACTCCACATCCACTGCCAATGTGTTAGTTCAAATTCCTATCACTCATCTCTAATACGACCCCAATAAATGCCAATGATAGAACCATGGATCCCAATTACCCTCCTACAATTTGATCTTTCCCACTAGTCGTATTATTTTTCTGCTTAAAATCTCACGATACCCCAACATTTTCTTCTGGATGGTGCACTAATCCCATATTGGGACTCAAAATAATGTTTTGATCCTCCTGCCCAATTTTCCAATTTTTCACTGCCCATCACTCATGGATCCCTGTGGTCTTAATTTGAAAATTTACTTGGAATAATCTTTTAATCATCTATGCCTTCCAACCTGTAATCTTATTTGTTTCCTTTTTAATTTATGTTTTAAAGTCTAGTCATGTAAGTACTCTCCCATTATCCTAATCTTTCTTGCATATGGACATCTTTGATAAAAATAGTCTATTTGCACAATAGTTTCCACCTGCAATAATGGTGTCCTTTGGTTATACTCAGCTTTTTTCAGCCTTCTTGGAAGTTTGGCCAAGTTCTGGTCAATTATATATGAAAGGCAGTGAAGAGGTCTTAGAAAAGTGTTTTTCCTGATAAAATGGAAGAGGATGTGAGCACACGCTATCCCAAATTCTTCCTCTTGGTACCTGTGTGCAATATGAATAAGATGGCAGAAATTGGGTCAGACATTTATAAAGATGTGGTGGCATAAGGACAAAGCTAATGCACTGAGGTTTCTGTGGCAAAATGTTATAAAGAACTTGGCTTCTGGAAGACGTCCACTGGGGGAAAAAACCTTGAAATTTTCTTCATCTAGAATTCTTGTGAAGTAAGTAAATGGCATTACTGTTTAAACCAGGAGAAGTCAAATGTCTGTTACTTGTAGGTAAACACTCCCTAATATATGGGGTTTTATTTTGTTTTGTTACATTTTTTTGATGCTAATTTGAAGGAAATTTTAAATGTATTTTATAAAATACCTTATTTGTCAGTTATTGATTTTTTTGGTAAATTATTTTGTATACAGCCTCTTTACTTATGTATTTCCTTAATTCTAACATTTTTTAGTTGATTTTTTCCATTCTCAAGAAATGGCAAGAGATTGCTGATATAATACAAATAATTTCTTGGTTAAAACACCTCAGTGGTTTCCCATCGTGATCTTAGGGAAAGTCACAAATTACTTTCCATGGCTTACAAGGCTCCAAGTGGTTATCTACTTCTCTGACATCTTATAACCTTGTAACCCATGTCACTCCTTGTTTATACTTCAAGAAAACTGTCATTCTCTTTTTCTGTTGCTATTTCAAGTCTGGGGCTTCTGTTACTTTACAGGATAAATGTCACATGTCCTTGGAGGCAAATCTTGGGGCCTCTAGGAAATGATGAGGAGATGAGGTACTAACCTTGCTCATGACCTCCCTGAACCACCAGCGCTTATGACAAGGGAGCTCCCTGAACTATAAAGTTTTGGGGTCTTAAGATATGGGACATAGATGGAATCTGCCTTGTCAGGGGGGTTCAGCGATTTACAGAAACAAATCTTTACACAGAGGGACAGAAATAAGCTCTGGAACATAGAGGCATACCTCGGAGATGTTGCAGGTTTGGTTCCAGATCACTGCAATAAATCAAATATCAAAATAAAGTGAGTCACACGAATCTTTCAGTTTCCCAGTGCATATGAAAGTTATGATTACACTATCCCGTGGTCTGTTAAGTGTACAAGAACATTATGTCTAAAAACACAATGTACATAATTAAAAAATACGTTGTTGCTAAAAAAAAATGCTTACCATCTGGGTCTTCAGCAAGTTGTAATCTTTTTGCTGGGGGAGGCTCTTGTGAAAAACAGTATCTGTGAAGCTTAATAACGTGAAGTACAATGAGATGAGGTATGCGGGTAAATTACCAAGCCAACATCCATCAGGCTCCTTCTTACTTCGCAATAGAATATCAGTTTGGTTCAGGTCTTCCGCCTCTTCCATGTGGCCAAATGTTCCAAGAGAGGCTGTCCCCATACCAGAGGCGTAGATATTTAGTGGTTTAAGCCTATCACGATGGCTCTGTTTTGTTTGCTACGTAAGGACTTGCAATGCAAATCTGGCAAATAGACATGAGAGGATCTCTGATGAAGAGAGCGTCTTTAAAAATATGCAAAGTAGGAATTTCCCCACATTTTTCACTATGAATGTTGACTTTTCAGTGCGTAATGCTTGAAACAGTTGTTGCCATCTTGGGACCATAAGAAAACCCACTCCGTAGGCAGAGCTGATGCACAGAAAATCGTATCTGGGTTTTAGTTGTGCAATAATGAATTTCCTTTGTTTCAACCACTTCTAGTTTTGTTGCTGATAAGCAAAAAGGCCTAACTTAAATAAACATTACTTTGTCTCTTCCTTTCTGTTAGGTACTTTTTATTGCTGTTTCATGTCTTAGTGCATTGGCCATAACTTTTACAAAACTGTTATTTGATAATTACATTAATAAGAATACTTCAATTAACTGCAGTTTTACTTAGTAAGCTTAGAATATTTTCTCTTAAATATAGTGTTGACTGAGGGCCAGTTTTAACTCTTAGTTATGAAAAGGAAAGCATCTTTGCCATCTTCCCCCAACTCCTTCCGACTTCATCATCCGTCAGTCACAACTGTGTTCTGCATGTCAGCCTGGCCAGTTTCTTTGAGTTTCCTGAGTAAACCCAGGAGGAAAGTTTGCTTTTGCAATTCCTTCTACTGATAATTACTTATTCCCCATCCTCCAACTGAAAAAGTCATACTCCTTCTTCCATGTTAAATGTAAATATTAACTTTCTTTCTAAATAATTGAATAATTAATGATCTTTCCAAAATACTATAAAAATGAACTCCTGTTTACTCTCACAGAACCTTTTCTAATATTTTGTTGTGGGATTTCTCAGAAGCCCTGTCATTATTTCTGCATTATAAATAATTTGAATTTTCTGGATATTATGATGTTTTGACATCTTAAAAAACCTTTCTGTTCTGTCTGGGAGAACCTGCCCCTGCCTGGGCCAGCCAATTCTTAGAGATGGCAAAGGGTCCAGCCTGGAGCATGATATGCAAACTAACCAATGCTCCTCTATCTGGCCTGTGCACCGCAGGAGGCAATATTCCGCTGCCTTCACCATCCCAAGGCCAAGGGCTAGGCAAGTAGAGGCCACCCCTATAGCCCAAAGTCCACTGAAATTATTCAAACCAGCCACTCCTAAGATGTTTATCCTGCCCTGCCTTGCCTTTCCCATGGAAACCTCAGTAAGTGCCAGAGCCTAAGCTTTCCCCTCATTCCCGTCTTCTGCCTCCTGACCACCCTAGTGTCTTTCCCGTGTGGCCCTGAGTGGCATGCTGTGCCACCTGTCTCTAGGACCTGTGAGCTTGGTAAACTCGCAGGTTTCCCTGAGCCTCTTTCCTGTCTCCTTTTCCGGCTGCGCCTGACTGACCATCTCATAAAAGAAACAAACAGTTTCCTGAAGAGTTTCTCCCCGCTATAGAAGCTTAAACTCCAGACGACCAGGTCTATGTCCTACTCAATTCTGTACGCTTGATATATTGCACAAGCCTTATTCTTTGTAATAGTAAAATATGTATATATGAATGTATTCAATTATTAAATCGTTTATTCAAATAATAGTTTTTGTTTGCCTACACTGTTGGGTATGATGCTTTTCACCTTGGACACAAAGATGAATCGAATGCCTGCCTTTAAGGCCACCACAGTCTAGTTTCGGAGGAAACTAAAGAAAGCGCTTGAAATCCCATGAGTTAAGTTCTGTGATAGAGATAAGCTCTGGTCACTGTGGAATCCCAGAGTAGGACCACCTGGCTCACCACCTGTTTGGGAGACAAACAGGTTCCATTGGAGAAAAATGAGAGAATGTATAAGAAGCCTCAAGAAAAGGTCATTGTGATAATGAGAATATTGGTTATATTAATGTACATACATAAATATATAACGTAATATTGGTTATAATACAGTGTTTGTTAACCTAATAAATGAATGGAGAACAAGGATGAAATGTAATTCTCTTGGGCCAATCCCTGAGCCTTTACTTTTTTTGTTTTTTTTTTTTTTATTAATGTTATGATAGATTACAACCTTGTGAGATTTCAGTTGTACATTTTTGTTAGTCATGTTGTGGGTACACCACTTCCCCCTTTGTGCCCTCCCCCCACCCCCCCTTTTCCCTGGTAACCACCGATCAGATCTCCTTGTCAATATACTAACTTCCACCTATGAGTGGAGTCATATAGAGTTCATCTTTCTCTGACTGGCTTATTTCGCTTAACATAATACTCTCGAGGTCCATCCACGTAGCTGTGAATGGGCCAATTTTGTCTTTTTTTATGGCTGAGTAGTATTCCATTGTGTATATATACCACATCTTCTTTATCCATTCATCTGTCCGTGGGCACTTAGGTTGCTTCCAAGTCTTGGCCATTGTGAATAATGCTGCAGTGAACACAGAGGTGCATGTATCTTTTTTAATTAGTGTTTTTGTGTTCTTTGAATAAACACTCAGAAGTGGAATAGCTGGATCGTACGGTTCTATTTTTAATTTTTTGAGGAATCTCCATGCTGTTTTCCACAGTGGCTGCACCAGTTTGCACTCCCACCAGCAGTGTGTGAGAGTTCCCTTCTCTCCACACCCTCTACAGCGCTTGTTGTTTCTTGTCTTTTTAGTAACAGGCATTCTGATGGGCATGAGGTGATATCTCATTGCTGCTCCCTTTTTTAAACAGAAATGGAAACATGCATGTTTTACATGTAGTCCATATTCCACTACTATATAATATTCAATCCAGATTACTACCAGTTTTAGCACTCCCAACAGTAGAGTGGTAAATCTCCTTTCGTACACACAAATACTTATGTCCTTATCTTCTGTGCTTTGATCTTTAAATTCTATAGTACAGATTTCTAAGTACTGCTGGGCCGAAAAGAATGCGCTTCTTTAAAAATACTTTAATATATCATTGCTGGACCATTTGAGAGAAAATCATAGCAATTCATACTGTTTCCACACTCCTTCAACTCCAAGGATTTATCAAATACTGAATGTTTTTGCTGATGTGATGGGGGACGCTGTGTGGCAGAGATCTCCCACTTCATTTTGCCATTCCCTGCATAGTAAGCACGAGGGGCACCTTCTCGTATGTTTATTGGCTGACTTTGTATTTTCTTGTCTGTGAATTGCTTATGAAATGCTTTTGCCCCTTTTTTCATTACTTCATTTCTTTTTGAGTTTCTAGGAGTTCTTTCAATGGCGGGGCTGTTAACTCTCCTGTCAAAAGTGTCACAGTTATTTTCTCTCAAACTTTGAGAATGGCAACTTGACCGTAAAGAAGTTTAGAATTTTCGTATAGTTAAATGATTTGTTAGCTCCCTTTTGAAAATCCGGCTTCATATCTAGTTCCAAAAGGCCTTACCCATCCTAAGCTTAATCAGAAAAGCACCTAAAATTATTTTCAGTATTTACATTAGCATTTTTTCATCTCTAACATGACTGTAATTTATTTTTGTAGGTAACGTAAGGTCAACGTTTAACTTCATTTTCTTCAAGGTGGATGGCCAATAGGACAATGCTATTCATTTGAAAGTCACCTGAAATACCATCCTTCTCATTATATATTTATTTATATATTTATATATGTATATAGATAGATGTAAAACATGCACGTGTGTTATATATACAGAGAGAGAGAAAGATAACAATCGAGTCATCTTTCCTGTGATCTGTTCCTGCATTCTGTCCTCTGGTCCCCTGGGTTACTCGCACATCTTCTGCATTGTTTTAAAATTTATGCCAAACACATACTTTTGAAATTTAAAATTATGAAAAAGAATAACGTTAGAGTTAAAATGTGGCTGGACTTAGTTCTCGTGTTCTCCCGAGCAGGTGTTCTTTTTCGCGGTACATCTGTGACCGACTTCTTTCAGTCATTTGTGGGGTCGTTGGTCTGTCCCCATTTTCTTTCGTTTGTTCACTCAGCCAGTATGTGTCGCACCCCTGCTGTGGGCCACCCGTCACTCAAAGCTCTGGTGACGTATCAGAACTAAACAGGTCGCGCCCCTGCCCCCACGGGGCTGACATTCCAGGAGCGGGAGGCAGGTAGTCAACGTCTTAAGAACAAGACAGTTGCTGTCACGTGTTGTGAGGGACCCGGGCAGGGGAACTGAGAGAGAGTGTCTGCAGCCAGCCAAGCGGAAGTTGCTGCGGAGCTGGACCAGAGAGAGGGAAGTAGAGACGGGGAGAAGTGGAGGGATTTGAAGTGTGTTTCGGAATAATAGTTAGCAGCCTCTGTTATGAGCGAGATGTGAGCAGTGAGGACAAGGGAAGGCTCAGGGATGACACTAAGGTGGATGGTACTTCTGTTGACCCACCCGGGGGAGGTGGGAGAGGGCTGCTTGGGAGGAAAGACTCACTTCTCATCGGGCTGCTTTTGGTTCCCGCTCCCTGTAGACATCCAGATGGTGGGTGGATGTGGTGGGATTCAGTATGGGAGGCAGGGCTGGATATAAAGATTTGGGAGTTCGTGCCTGGCCCACATCCATTTAATTGATTGCCAAGCTGACCCAAGCTTTCTCCCCGTCCCCCTGCTTCTGGTCTGGGGATTGATCTAGGATCCTGCTGGGAAATGGGCTCTGCGGGTGACGCTCCTTCTCCAAAATGGGAATATGGATTCCTCTGATCTGTAGTCCTGATCTCATTTGGGTGGCAGGATAGCCAAGTGGTTAGAACCTGGTCAGTCAGGCTGCCCGAGTTCAGTCCTGACTCTGTGCTTAGTAGGTGGACAAATGATAGTCACTTCTCTGAGACCCTGTTTCTCATCTGTGAAATGGCGATAGCAATAGTGATGACCTTGTGAGTAGTTACTGATAATAGATAATAGAACATTTCCAACAGTCCGGAAAGTTCTCACTTCCTGTGAGTTCTGTGAGAATTAAACGAGACAAGTCGTATAAAAACGCTTAGCCTAGTGCCTACCTTCTAGTAAGGTTGCTGTAAACATAAGGTGTTCGTAATACCTCCTGTGCATCTTCTCATTGTCTGGTGCCCTGCTGGCATGCCTCTTGGCTTTCGTAGGACAGTTGTTAAAGCGGTGGCTGGGGAGCTGGGCTCTGTGTGCTCCGGTTCCAGCTCTTTCTCCTACGAGCTGGGTGACCTTGGCCAAATTCCTTGACCTCTGGGCCAGGGGGTCCCCGAGACCACCCCTGTGTTGGGAAATTTGCTAGGACTCATGGGGCTCAGCGCGTGGGTTTGCTCATGGCTGAGATTTGCAGCCGCACACCGGGCCGCCCCTGGCCTTCACTCCATGTGCCTGTTCCCTCTGCTGGTGTTTTTTTAACCATAATCAGTCATGGCTGCGAGTGTGCTTGCTGACTCCTGTGCATCCTCCTGGTGAGTCGCAGAACTTGGGGCTGCTCCTGGGGACCGCCGGCACGAGACCCAGGACGGCGGGGCTGGCTCTTTCTGGCTTCTCTCTCTCATTCCTGCTGCTTAATACTGTTTTGTAGGTCCTGGACATTTCTGGAATGAGTAATACGTTGACACGCATGCACTCAGCCTTACTATACCTACCTTGCCTGCCTTCTTGTTAAAAATATATCCGTGAATTTTTTTTTAAAACTGAAATAGCTGTGGAACCACAGCTCAGTCTTACCTTGTGACACCTTGTCACAGGTCCTTCCAGGGACAGGCTGAAGGTAAACTGTCATTCTGAAAGTGCTCACGTGCAGTTGTCTCCCTCACAAGGAGGCATGTCCCGGTCTCAGTGAAGACAGTGGTGACATCGGAATATAGTCGACTGCTGTATTTCAGAACCTGTAACTGCTGGTTTTTTCTCACTGGACCAGTGCAATTCGCTGAAAAGCTCGGGCCACGCTGCGTCCCTTGGGCTGACACAGCATGATGTGCCCCTGCAGTTTGGACCCCTGTGTCAGCGGTCTCCCCTGGGTGGGGAGATGGCTGCACACACACACGGTGGTTGTGTCTGTCCACTGCTGACCCGGACCCCGGGAAGGCTGTGGCTGTGGAGGGGGTGGCGGCTGGGGCAGTAAGGGGGTAGATTTGCCCAACTGCTGGTGGAGGCGTGAGGGGATGGCTGGTGAACAACAGTCACAGAGGCAGCAGAGGTGGTTTTGGGTGTGTGCGGACGTGGGCCCTCAAAAATCAGGCGCTGTTGGGACTGGAAGTTGTCACGGTCTTTTTGGAGGAAGAATCGGCAACCTGCAAGTTAGAGGCAGGCTGTGACATGTGCGGGCCCTGTGATTCGGCCCTGCCAGGTCTAGGAAGTTGCCCTCAGAAGTGCTCCCCCTAAGCAAAGGATGTTGCTTTTTTTTTTTTTTTTTAGGGGGGGAAGATTAGCCCTGAGCTAACTACTGCCAATCCTCCTCTTTTTGCTGAGGAAGGCTGGCCCTGAGTTAACATCCGTGCCCATCTTCCTCTACCTTATATGTGGGACGCCTACCACAGCATGGCGTTGCCAAGGGGTGCCATGTCCGCACCTGGGATCCGAAACGGCGAACCCCGGGCCACTGAAGCAGAATGTGCGCACTTAACTGCTGCACCACCAGGCCAGCCCCAAGGATGTGGCTTGCTTTACTCTGGATAACCATGGAAGATCAGTTGGTTAGAGTTAAAATTCTTGGCACCAAACGTTAATAAAACTTGATCGGACTCACCAAACAGAACACCAGCCTGCTTTCTTCTCTACTTTTCTTAGCGACACAAAGTAAGCTATAGCAAACATGCGGTTCAGCCAGTGAGTGTTTGTGTTGATGGTCCTTCCCATTCTAGGAGCCGGTGACCTTCGAGGACGTGGCTGTGGCCTTCACGGAGGAGGAGCTGGGGCTGCTGGACGCCGCCCAGAGGCAGCTGTACCGGGATGTGATGCTGGAGAACTTCTGGAACCTGCTCTCTGTGGGTGAGGGGAACCTCTGGTTAATTGAAACTTAACTTATTGGAGTGTTCTTCTTCCCCAGAATGAGGATTTTTTTGTCTTTGTACACAAGTTAAACTGGGTTTTTGTTGGCGTGGTTTTTTTGGTTGGTTTTGGGTTGTTTTTTGTTGTTGTTTTCTTTTTTTTGGTGAGGAAGATTGGCCCTGAGCTAACATCTGTGCCAGTCTTCCTCTATTTTGTATGTGGGACGCCACCACAGCGTGGCTTGATGAACAGTGTGTAGGTTTGTGCCTGGGATCTGACCCGTGAACCCTGGGCTGCCAAAGCAGAGCACATGAACTTAACCGCTATGCCACTAGGCTGGCCCCCTAGACTTTTTTTTATAGAACTGCTATATTTCATTTGGCTGATCCCACATCTTTCCTTGTTGATCCTTCAGAGGCCTGAAGGTCATGAGATTAGGGCTACCATTTCACATGATTTATTCTTTTTTTTTTTTTTTTTTGAGGAAGACTGGCCCTGAGCTATTGTCTGTTGCCAATCCTCCTCTTTTGCTGAGGAAGACTAGACCCGAGCTAACATCTGTGCCCATCTTCCTCTACTTTATGTGTGGGACGCCTGCTGTAGCATGGCTTGAAGAGCAGTGTGTAGGTCCGTGCCTGGGATCCAAATCCAAGAACCCCAGGCCACCAAAGTGGAGCACACAAACTTAACCGCTACACCACCGGGCTGTCCCCAACATTTTCAGATAATTTTTTGCACCTCAAAAATGAGCCTAAGTCTTGCATTTCTTGCATTTTCAGGACAACCACCTTTCAAACCTGGTAAGATATCCCATTTGGAACAAGACAGAGAGACCTGGAGACCGAGAGAGAAGCTCCAAGAGGTGCACATCCAGGTGGGAACCATGGAGCCTCGAGTCCCGGCTGGGCAGTGGGGGGTGGACCTGGCACATGGAGGCCCAGTGCTCACCCTCGCTCTTGCCCGTGGGCACTGCTGGTGCCGTGGTAGCTGCTTGGTCTGCAACCTCATTTCTATTTCTCAGTCCTCCCCTTCGCGTGGTTCCTTCCTGCTTTTCAGAGAAGGACAGAGCCAGAGTGAGTGAGGGGTCTCTGAACTCTCCTCCCAGGCAGTGTGAGACAAGCCGGTGGCGGAGAGACTGTTCCAGAAGATTGAGAGTCCTCTGATGGACTTCTCACTTAACTCTGTTAGCCTCCAATGCCCTGCTTGTAAACAGGTTCCTGTTACCTCGGCCCCCGAAGGTCAAAAGAGCCCACAGAGAATTTCAGAAAGCGTGGACAAGTTCTTAAAATCATCTGGAACTATGTGGTAAATATGCCAGTCTCGTGGTTTGCAGTCGGTAATGGGGACAAGTTGCACTTTCATGTCTCTGTGCCTTATCAGTGTCACCTGGATCCCTGTTTAATACGCTCAGGGAAGCTGCAGACCCAGCTGACGCACGTGGGGCAGGCGGTGCTGTGTGCCCTCCGCAAGCCCAGCTCATACATACCTAGAGTTAGACCCGCTCTGGGAGGCCGCGTGGAGAGAGCACGAAGGCTGAGCTCTACAGCCAGACTTCTCTGTATGAGTGCCCGCTCCCCACTTCCTCACAGCGTGGCGGGCAGACTCAGCTCGTTACTTACCCTCTCCATGACCTGGTTTCTTCATCGTAAAATGAAGATAATCACGGCTCCTACCTCAGTGTTATCCTGAGGGTTAAGTCAGTTAATATGTGTCCATCATTGGCGCATAGGAAGTGTTGTAATAGTGTTACATGTGATTATGATATGATTATGGTTATTAGCAACAACAGCATTAATAAGTGGAGAAGCGAATTTTCTCTGTAAAAATCTGTTCAGAATTTCTTTTTTGCTTGGCAACTGTATGAGACACAGTTCATTACTAATACGATCATATTAACATTTAACTTCAAAGCTCATTTTTTTGTGTGAGGAGGACTGGCCCTGAGCTGACATCGGTGCCCATCTTCCTCTGTTTTGTATGTGGGACGCCACCACAGCATGGCTTGATGAGCCACGTGTAGGTCTGTGCCCGGGATCTGAACCTACAAAGCCCAGGCTGCCGAAGTGGAGCGCACAAACTTAACCGCCACGCCACCGGGCTGGCCCCAAGCTTCAAAGCTTATTAATAGGAGCCTCTTCCTTTTTTCAGACATAAAAATAAGTGCCATGCTGGTTAGGGTGCCTGAAGCTGAATTTTTCTCTAGGCCGTCATTGGCCCAGGTTGGAAAGCTTGATAGCCCTGAGGCGATCCTGTTCTTGTTCTCATGAGTTGTCTTTAACCCCACAGGAGACAGGAATGCAAAGGATTTGGAGAATATTCAAGAAAAGGAATTAACATCCCTTCCCTACAGAGAGCTCCTCTGCTGGAAAATCTGGGAGCAGGCGGCTGATGAATTAACTGGGAGTCAAGACCGTAGAGTGAACCTTCAAGGGAGAGGTTTCCGGTTCTCGGAAGATGCTTCTCTCTGTCAAGGCTGGGAAGGACCCCCTACCCGAGATTCCCAGATTGAAAATATGGTGGGTGGTGTTAAAGGGGAGGGGCCCATCGATTTAGAAAATGAAGAGTTTCCGTCCTGCAAAGCAGTAAGACTGGTCTCCCTTCAAGAATCTTGGATGAAAGCCTTTGCGAGTGAGCCATGGAATGTTCACGAAAGATGTAAAAAACTCAACATGGAAGATGCCAAATGTAAACGTGACGGGGATGGTTATGGCTTCAGCTGGATATCACGTTGTCATGGTGACCACAGAGTACCTCCAAGAGAGAAACCGTGTAATTGCGATAAATGCCAAACAGACTGCGTGAAAAAGTCAATACTTCCTCACCCTCACCTTGGAGAGAATGGCTTTAAAAGAAATGAATGTGGAAGTGGCTTCAGGGACGAGTCAGACCTTCCCACTCACCCCAGAGTGCCCTTGAAAGAGAAACTCTCTAAGTATCGTGAGTTTGCTCAGGGTTTCTGGCAGACTGCCCATCTCGAGAGACATCAAAGAACTCCTCCAGGAGAGAAATCCTTTCAGAGTCACGAGTGTGTTCGGGGATTGAGGCAGAACACACATGGTCACAGCCGTCCCCGGCCCCACGCGGGGGAGATGCCCTACAGATGTGACGTGTGTGGGAGGGCCTTCAGGTATAGATCCGTTCTTCTCATTCATCAGGGAGTGCACACGGGAACGAAACCCTACAAATGTGAGGAGTGTGGGAAGGCTTTTGGTCGAAGCTCCAACCTCCCGGTCCATCAGAGGGTCCACACCAGAGAGAAGCCGTACCAATGCAGCGAGTGTGGGAAAGGCTTCAGCTACAGCTCGGTGCTGCAGGTGCACCAGCGGCTGCACACGGGGGAGAAGCCCTACACGTGCGGCGAGTGCGGCAAAGGTTTCTACGCCAAGTCTGCACTCCACAAGCATTGGCACGTCCCCCCGGGGGAGAGGCCCTACAGCTGCGTCAACTGCGGGAAGGGCTTCACTTGCAGCTCCCACCTCAGCAGCCGTCAGAAGACGCATGCCGGGGAGAAACCCTACCCATGTGACAAGTGCGACAAAGGTTTCAGTCACAGCTCATACCTGCAGGCTCACCGGAGAGTCCACATGGGGCAGCATCTCTACGAATGTGCCGCATGCGGTAAGAGTTTCAGTTACAGCTCAGGGCTGCTCGCGCATCAGAGGCTGCACACGGGAGAGAAACCCTACAAATGCGAGTGCAGGAAGGGCTTCGGCCGGAGCTCTGACCTCCACGTCCACCAGAGGGTCCACACGGGAGAGAAACCCTATAAATGTGTCGAGTGTGGGAAGGGCTTCTGGCGGAACTCAGACCTTCACAGTCACCAGAGGGTCCACACGGGAGAGAGGCCCTACATCTGCGACGTGTGCGGGAAGGGCTTTATTTACAGCTCCGACCTCCTCATCCATCAGACAGTCCACACCGGAGAGAAACCTTATAAATGTGCCGAGTGTGGCAAAGGCTTCAGCTACAGTTCCGGGCTTCTCATCCATCAGAGGGTGCACACAGGCGAGAAACCCTACAGATGCAAAGAGTGTGGGAAGGGTTTCAGGTGCACCTCAAGTCTTCACAAGCATCAGCGAGTCCACACGGGCAAGAAGCCCTACACGTGTCAGCAGTGCGGCAAGGGGTTCAGCTATGGCTCCAATCTGCGCACCCACCAGAGACTGCACACAGGGGAGAAATCCCACACGTGTTACGAGTGTGGAAAGGGCTTCCAATACGGCTCGGGGCTCCTGATTCATAAGAGAGTGCACACCGGAGAGAAGCCGTATAGGTGTGACGTGTGTGGGAAGGGCTACAGTCAGAACTCCCACCTTCAAGGTCATCAGAGGGTCCACACTGGCGAGAAGCCCTACCAGTGTTTGGAGTGTGGGAAAGGCTTCAGTTATAGCTCAGGGCTGCGGAATCATCAGAGGGCGCATTTAAGCAAGAAACCTTGTAAATAAGTAGGTGCTAGCTGAGGTCTCCCGTTAGAACGCAGAGCTTTGTAGTTGTCTGAGAGCTAACACGGGAGAAAAACGCTAAGAACGTCTCGTGCAGCCAGGGCTGCAAGCGAGGCCAACGTTCTCCTAGTCTGCGTGCGACAGAAGGGAACATCTGGAAGTTTCATAAATAGGGAACGCACTTAGTCACAAACTTCGGGCCTTGAGAGTCTGTAGCACTGCAGGATAGTCCTTAAAGATACGACGTGCGGGTGGCTTCAGTAAAAATCATCGCGCTTGTCCGAGCTGGCCTAGAATGGAGCTTTACAAATAATACGAGTAGTGAGAATGTTTCGCAGGAGCAGGTTATGGACACGGATTCCTTGTCAGGGAGAAATACCTACAAATGGGACAACCATAGGAAAATAGTGTCACCTGACTAAAGCCAATATTGTAGGAATCTTTGAGAAGGTAGTTTTTATAAAAACTAAAAGATGATAATGTTCGTGGAGGCCAGTCACTTTTAGAAGGTCAGGAGCAGTTACAAGGAAAGGCTTTCTCAGGGCGGGTCTGGGTAACGGGTCGCCATCATGTTTTCATCGTGTTTTTGTGGTTGTGCTTTCTCTCGTAGAGGTAAACTGCTCTCAGAGAGAAGTTGTGCTAAATTATAAGAATCTCTCATTTTCTCAGGTTTTAAAAACAAAATCTGATTGGGGTTTAATTGGCCTTGCATTGAATTTACATTTAATTTGGAAAGAACTTACGTCTTTTTTTTTTTGAGGAAGATTAGCCCTGAGCTAACATCTACTGCCAATTCGCCTCTTTTTTTTTTTTTTTTTTTTTTTTTTTTTGCTGAGGAAGACTGGCCCTGAGCTAACATCTATGCCCATCTTCCTCTACTTTTTATATGTGGGACACCTACCACAGCATGGCTTGCCAAGCAGTGCCATGTCCGCACCTGGGATCCAAACTGGCAAACCCCGGTTGGCCAAACCGGAACGTGTGCACTTAACCGCTGAGTGGGACGAGGTTGGCACAGGTGCTGTGCTGCAGTGGTCTGCTGACGGGACAGACCCTGTTCTCCAGGAGGTCATTAGGTCTTAGGTGGTGAACGAACTGATGGTACTGTCTCATGAACCCCGGAGCTCACTGCCTGTCTTTGAGAGCGGCTAGGAGAGGAGGGGGTGAAGAGGTGAGACTCCGCCCACACCCCCTACTTCAACTCCTGAGCTCTGAGTGTCTCATACACATCAGAAGATTCTCAGGGACCCAGGACCTGGGTCAAAACGCCTTGACTGATTGTTAACCTAAAAAGAACCAAGATGCACAATATGATGTCTCATTTGTGCGGAGGAACAAATACGTGTGCAGAGACGTGTATCAGCATATACAATCATGCATCACTTAATGATGGGGACACGTTCTGAGAAGTGTCATCAAGCGATTTCATTGTGCGAACACCATAGAGTGTACTTAGAGAAACCTAGATGGTACACCCCACCACACACCCAGGCACTATGATACTAACCGTTTGGGGCCACCATCATCTGTGTGGTCTGTCGTTGACAGAAAAGTCGTTACGCGGTGCATTACTGCACACACATACTCAGAGTAGACTTGGGGACTTGAGATGTGAAAGGAGACATTTTCCATTGTATACACACATTTGTAACTGTTGGAATTTTTAGCTGTGCAATTGAAAAGTGAACCTAGCAGATGGAGAGACTCGTTTTCTGTCTAAAAAATGATTTCGGTGCTCACACGTATACAGCCCTCCAAATCGGCTCAGAGGTATTGAGGTCGGTTGGGATCGTGGCACTGTGGGCTCTCAGGGGGGGAAGTTCCTCTGGAGTCCGTCCAGCTGGTGCGTGCCAGGCTCACCAGCTGCCAAAAGCCAGGATATTATGCCCATCAAACGGCCTCACAGAGGACTTGTACCGAACAGGGTGTCTGGAAAACCATCTTAAACATATTCTTTTCCCTGATGCTGGAAACCTGAGGTCCTCTGTGGTATTGATTTTCTAGAAGCCTAAGTCCAGAAGGTCAATAGACTCTATCTTGATTCTGGAGTGTGTGGGGTAAGGGAAAGCACACATGGCCCCAGGTGGTGACAGAGGCAAATGCATTTTCTCCCCACAAAAGCACTAGGGACTCCAAAGAGTGGCTCATGGGTCTGCGCCTGAGGAAGGCTTCAGATCACACAGGAACTGGCCATGTGAATCGTGTCGCTCCAGGACAGCGCTGTCTGACAGAAACAGAGCAGACCAATATGGGAGTTTAGTGAGCTGATCTATACCAAATAGTTATCAATAACTTCCTTAGACCAGCCATAAGGAGTTAGGAAGAAAACTGGGAAGGGATCCCATTCACAGCAGCAGCGACAAAAACCCTAAACATTCAACAAATGAAATTTCAGAAGGGCAGGGATTTTTGTCTCCGTTGTCCACTGCTGTATGTCCAGTGCTTAGAACGGTGCCTAGCACATAGTAGGTGCTTGAAAAACAGGTATAACAATGGCCACAGACAAAAATTCCTGTCTTCATGGAGCTTAAATCCTAATAGGGGGAGGTAGGCAGTAAAGAAAATATGTAAGTAAATGATAGAAGGTGTTAAGTACTGAGACAAGGAACGCAAAGTGCCAGGGGCTGTTGCAGTTGTAAATAGGAGTGTCCCGTAGGCCTCGCTGAGAGGGACATTTGAGCAGAGGATAAAGAAGGTGAAGCAAACCTTGTGGCCATCTGGGAAAAGAACCTACCAGCAGAGGGAACAGTGATCAGGTTTGAGAGAGGGCACGCAGCCCAGCGTGGTTGGACCAGAACGGGCAAGCGAGAAAGTAGTAGAAGATGAGATCAGAGCGGAGGGGCTAAAAGAGAATAAATTAACTCAAATGTGGAGAATCTACATATTTATCACAAATATTATTGAGGAATAGTAAAGAAAACCTCCTCCTCCCCATCCAACAAAAAGACTGAGGATCTGCCATAATTAAGGATGACTCCCATCTCTGTGGTAGATCTTACTAGATTTTTTTTTTTTAATCACGACGAAACTGTAATGTCAAGACATCAAAAGAGGCCAGAAGAATTTCACTGTCCTCTTTATGTGCCCTAAGTTGCAGTGTCGAGCTGTAGCTGCGTGTTATTTCTCCAACTCCTGCCCGCTGCTTGGAGACCCCCGTCTTCACTTAGCAGTCTAGTCTGGGACTAGAGCCGGGCAAAGTGACTGCGCTCATCCATTTTTGGGGTACTTTCCTCCAGGCCAGAATTGTGAGCCTCTAGGGAAACCGTTATTCAATTTTCTTCTCCCCATTAGGGCACCAAAGAGAAAGATGTTTTCTTTAATAGAAATCTTAAAGTGCTAAAAAAGCCTAAGTCCCAACAAGGGAGTCTTAAAGAAAATATGAAAACTTTACGTGTTTTCGTGATTTGTTGCAATACGTGTCTTCTAAGAGGACCCGCCAGACTCGTGCCCTTCCCCGGCTCAACACAGAAGCCGCTGGTCGTTAATTCTTTCTGCTTCTCCGGAGCTGGGGAAATATTACAGAGCTGGGTCCAGAGCCATGTGGGGTCTCAATTTCCAGAGACCCCCTTCAATAGAAACAAACCGTGAAAAAAAGTATTGAAGTAAATTTTAATTGAAAAATTGCCTGTTTATGCAATTAAAGGAGATGTCTACAGAGTAACAACCTATAAGGATTTTCACTAAAATGGTAACAAGTGTTCATTTTCCAGGTGGTAAGCTATTTAGTCTTCCTCCTTTTTATCAGGTGTGGAGAGAGACATGTTTTAATCATTATTAACATTCCACTGATATTTCATCGCTATTGTAATTATTACTATTTTAGATAAAGTGACAGAGCCCGGGCGGCACCAGATTTACCGAAGACCCCCGGGCAGCCCTCCGACGGCAGGTGCTGCCGCTGCCGCTGCCGCGCAGGGGCTTCTGGGGATTGTAGTCCACAGGCTCCCTTGCGCCTGCGCCGTGCGCCCGGGGGCGCGCGCGCGGTGGGCGACTTTGTTTGGGGAGCTGAGGTGAGTCGGCCTGGACCGCGCCCCGTTCGGAGGTGTCTCCGGTGATGGGGGTGGAGGATGCGCCGCTGTGACCCGGCCCTGTGGCCTGGAGTAGGAGGAGTTGGAAGCAGGGACTGGTGGCCGATGAAAGGACCTCTTCGGAGAGTCGGGTGATGGGGGCTCAGGCCCGGGCTCCCTGGGATCGAGGCGGGGAGCTTGGGCTGGGTTTGGGGGTTTTGACTCAGGAAGCGGCTCTGCAGGTTTCGGGATAACGGCTTGGGCTGTGCATGCCCGGGGTGGGGTTGGTGTCGGTCTTGGGACGTGCTTCTCTGGACCCAGGCGGGGCAGGGGGTCGCTGGCTCCGCTTTGGGGGTGCGGGTTTGGGCTGTGCGTCCCGGACTGGGGAGAGGGACTGGCTCGAGCATGAGAATGGGGGGCGGCTTGGGCTGCTCATTCCGCGGCTTGCCTGCGGGGGGCCGATTCTGGCTCAGCACGTCCCTGGGTTCTCGGAGCCTTGAATTCTGTATGCTGCGCTGCGTCCTCGGCAGCCCTGACTCCGGCGGGGCGTTCTTGACTGCGGGGCGGGGGTTCTGGCCTCTGGACACGGGGGGCGGGGAGAGCTCCGACGGTGCATCCTCTCTCTAGTAATAGCTCTGGAGTCTGTCCCTGAATGCACTTTGAAAAGAACTGCCCCGAATTATTAACCCCACCCTCTCCTTGCACGCTGTGAACCAAGAAATGCGAACTTTGAGGATTACAAGACACACAGCGAATTGTAAGCTGCTAAATTGCAGTCAACAAGTTGGACATTTGAACGCTGATTCTGCGTTGGGTAAGATTAGAGAATTAATTCTTTTAGGTGTAGTATTAACACTGTAAAAACTTTTTCCCATCTTTTAGAGCTACATAATGAAGTATTTATGGACAAAATAATATGATATCAGGGATTTGCTTCAAAATATTCTATGAGTACGTGGGGACCAGGTGGTGGTGCAGTTGAGACAAGAGTGGCCACATGCTGGTGATTGTTTAAGCCATGTGATTGGTACCTGGGGGTTCCTTATACAGTTCCATCTACCTCTCTGTATGTTTGAAATTTTCATAATAAAATATTTTTGAAACAATTTTCCAGTTAACCAGCTAGGAAGTGCCAGGGGCGTAAAAAGGGTGGCTTTTACTCCTAGCTGCATGTAGCGTGTGGGGGCCAGACCTCGAGCATCCCCCCCTGAGACTAGACCCCGGTGCCTCGGGAATCACTGTGAGCTCGGAGGTGCGGTCAGAGCTTCTGGCCTTTCCATGGAATTTTGTAGTCTTCTTCCTTAAGGAAACTGATTATAAGTCTTTTGTGTTTTGTCTCTTGTCAACAGGCTATTTTTTTTTCTTCTATCTCTGTAAATATAGGTTCAACATCTCAAACCTAATTTTTCCAGAACTGAGCTCCTGATCCTGGTCTTCAAAACCTGCCCCTCCTGTGGTCTTCCTCATCTCTGTAAATCCTTCCAGTCGCTGAAGCCAAAGCCCCCACTGCTCTTTCTCTCCCACCCCTCGTGCAAGCGATCAGCTGATCCCGTTGGCTGTATCTTCAGTATAAATGCCGAGCCCAGTACCTTCTCTCCACTTCCACCTCCACGGCCCTGATCCAAGGCACCGTCATGCCTGCTACCTGCTCCCCTCATGCCACTGGTCATCCCTCCCCAACAGCAGCCAGGCAATCCTGTTAACGCCTGAGTTGGATCCTGCCCTCCTCTCTTTAAAATCCTCCCGTTGCCCCCATCTAATGCGAGTAACAGCCAAAA